ATTAACCAGGCTAATTATGTGCCAGCGGCGTAAGATGGCCGCGCGTTCGAAAAGTATCTGCAATGGCAGTTTGCAGCTGGCGTTACGTGAAATTTGCAATTAACACGCACGATGTTGAACAAACGGAATATTTAAATCAACAAACGGAAGGTGTTAATAAATAAATAATAAATAGAACGAGAAATGTAATTCAACAAATTGAATGCGTAAACAGACAAACAAATGAAAAATATAAATAAACTCGACTATATAAATAGACTAAACCGACTCGTCTGTCGGGTCAGTGATAAAAAACAATTTGTCCGTCTTTTCGAACGTGTATGCAGGTATATGGATTCGCATAGTCGGGACGAATTGAACGGGTCGTTAAAAAATCAGTATTCCGAGAGGAAATCCAGTGGATCTTTTTTCAAACTCTTCAAATAGCTAATCAGCATAATTGATGAACAGTCGGTCTTCCCTCGTGTCGTAACAACGCGTCCTCGCGAGCGTGAACGCCGAAACGGGTGAATCTTTGCATAGCCTAATTAACACCTACCTACCAAGCTCGAAACTCCCCCTAATCTGACAGCGCTATGTTAAGACGTTTGTTTTCGACGGAAGGCATAATGCATACGTATTGATGCTGGAATATGTAGAAGCGACTGCAGATTCCGGAAGTCGTGACGCGGCGTTTCGAGAGAAACAGGAAGGGAATAATATTAAGATAGAGAGGATCGTGCCACGATCGTGCACGATGTTTCCGGCCTAATTTCGCCGGGAAAGTATTAGCCTATATACGTAGTCGTAGATAGAAACGCTTTCGAAAGAAGCTTTCCTTTACACCAACGAACAGCTTCCTCGAGACGATCTTGAAACTTGAAACTTGAACGTGGGTGTATACTTTTCGAGAAACAAATCAGAAATCAGGATTCACCGCAGGAGTTTCTCGTTTCCCGAGAAAACGACCGATCGTTAATACTCCGAGTCGAATGTCGAGATATGATTGGAAAGCCCGATTACCCGACGCGAAATAACGAAACGCTTTTCGAACTCGTCGCGCAGCACGAGAGCGAACGAGGCACGTAGGAGTTACATTGATCCTATATAATTTCGTAATAATCCCCTCGTGTACATTTCAAGCCGTGGAGAGGAAACCCTATGGAAATCACGTATCCGCTGATCCCCGGCTAAGTTTATCTTAAATGAGTCCACCGGATAGTTATCGCGCGCGACGCGGCCGCACGGATCAATTGCGACGAGGGCAAATGGAAAACTCGTTCCGTAGCAGTTTGCTCAACGCGAATACGAGATATCCGCGATGAGACACACCCCTACCCCCACGGTCAAAGAAATGACGTTCCTGGTCTGGTTGGCCGCAAGAATATTGGACCAACGACAGAAAATAATTCGTGGCTTGTTAAAACGGAGATAATTACGTTTCACCCTCCCCCTCCTCCCCATCCGTTGCCCTTGTTAAACTTCCAGTCTATTGAAAATTTTACATTCAACGAGACGACAGAAGTAGGAGGAGGGGGGAAACCTTTAATCTTTAACCCACAGCTTTTACGACGATATCGCGTTACATCGTTGCTAATATCCAAACTCTGGATATTAACGCCTCTGTAGGAAATTTATGGAAGCAAAAATGTAGGTATAAACGTAAGATTCAAAAGCAGATTACACCTATAAAATAGTTGAAGGAAAATGTACTGTTATCACACAAATTTCCGCAGTCTGTTGATCTCGTTTGTTCTATTGAACTAACAAGCAAAGTAAATACTGATTAAAATACTTGGAACTTTCATTAAGCCAGTTATCATGTCGTTGCTAATCTCGTAAATTCGACGTCAATTATACAACTGCGTTAATTGCGCATTTGAAGAAAAATAACAACGCGTTACAAGTCTAACAAAATCGTTGCCTGATATGTATGATCGACAACAATCTTAAGACCAAAGAGGACAAGATTTTTCATAGGGAAACCAGTTGCTTTATCGCAACAGCATCGTATCCGTTCAATTATGGAATTAACAACGTAAACGGTCAACCCTTTCGGTCAGCTATGTAATAAATGTTCGCCGTTACAATGATAACGGGTCGAATGAATGCAACGGATACCGGTATTTATGCGATCCAGATATCAGTAGAACAATAACGACCGCCACGGTATCGTACGCAAACGCGTAAGCGTAATTATTTTGGAATTAATGGGGATGCACATTCATTGCTCAAATACTGTTACAGGGATCGACGGAGAAAAAAAAGATGAAAGAGAGAGAGAGAGAGGAAAAAGAAAAAATGCTCGCCAGAACAACGCGGGACAAAGCAGCAAGAAGGAGAGAATTTGTTCGCTTTTCTATCGAGAACACGGCCCTGTTAATTGCCGCGCAAATTAAAAGAAGAAAAATCGATTCGAAAACATGAGTTCAACTGATTTGTGTAACTTCGACGCGAATGATACGTTCTCTTCCCTCTCCAGAATTTTTTTTTCTTTCTTTCTTTTTTTTTTTTTTTTTCTTTTTTCTTTTTCATCGACGAGCGCCGTAATTGAATGGCAGAAGCGTGCATACACTTATTCGACGAATTCAATGGGTCTTTCCTCCGGACAAAAAAGGATGTTCGTTAGAGAAGTTCTCCAGTGGTTAACTTTAACGATTCTTGCGTATAAATAAGAAACGAATGTCTTGAAAAATGATACGCGCTTCTTTCTATTATCTCCGAAGGAGAAAGGAAAAAAAGAAAGTAGCCAAAGATGCGCAAGATCTTGCTGAAGTGATAAATAAAATTTGTCGTGGTTGAACAACGAGGAAGAACAAAAAGGGAAATAAAACTTCTCGAAAGCGGATTTTGGAACCTTACATACGTTTCTCCCTTTATCTCGGTAATGAGTAGTTATTTCATTTCCTCTTTCTTTCTCTGCTCTCTCTTTTATTTACCACGGCATATATCATGCGAATAATGCACAACAGCACGATAAAAAGAGGTGGAAAAAGGGAGCACGTTCTTGGCGGGATATTTGTGTGAGAACGAAAGGGTGGCTCGGCTTAAGGAATGTCTACGTCGCGCTGGCAACAAGGGTCGAAAGACTCGACAAATATCATAAAATGTAAATGTTACGGATTCCCCGCGATCCCGAGCAGAACTTCTCAATTTTCCAATACGCCAAAGCCCTTCTATCCGGCTTACGCGCGTTCGTAGCTCGATTAGTTTCACGCTCGTTCATCTGCCATCTTCGCGGCCTGTTTCTCTGAGATTAAAATTTCTGATCTCGGCGCTCGTATATTTTACATGGAACAACGGCCATGGATACGTTCAACTTTGTCGCCTCATCCCATCGAGCGAACAAACTTTCGTCTGGGATCGAATCGGTTCCCCGCGCACTGGCACGTCAAAACTAGTCCGAAAAGGTCATCCATTCAACGAATAAAAACGTCCAAATTTTATTCGTCCTCTGTCGAGCAATTTTTCAATTAGGCAAACTTTTCACTCTTTGCCAGAACCGTGGATGAATAAGTCCTCCGATGGAACGAAGACATTAGCAACAACGGCTTTAAACACTTTCCTGTGAACTACTCCGAACGTCGTACAACGAACATCCATCCACGAAAAGTCTCCCAAGTAATCGATTCAATTTTCCAATTCTTGTCCAATTTCAGGGGGATGTTACTCGAAAACTCGACGACAAAAGTTACGCGTCGACGGCTAAAGCCTTAGAAAACGACTTTGTCGACGTAATCGAGAAAAACTGTTCTCACCTCATCATCCTCGACTATTGCGTTACGGTTGTCTCGCCATCGAGATTCGCGACAACGTCGATTCTCTCTCTACACATAGGTATTTAAGCACCTACACATACACGTAAGAATAGGAGCAGGCGATTCGCTCGTTTTACCGCAAATGTTTACGCAGTAAGAGTTCACGCGTACGCGTGTACATCAGATACACGGCGAAACCGTACAAGATAGATGGTCCAACCACTGGCCTTCTGTTACCCCGAATGTTTCACTCGCACTCGTGATATATGGCTACACCGCTAAAAACTGGCAGATGTGTCGCCACCCTTTGCAACCACCTTCGTCCTATCATTCCAGCCAACGTTTCGCGGGAATTGTCGACCTACCTTTCCTACCTTAGCGGCTGGATAAATCGAGGCGAGACGCGAACAATACTTGAGAGATTACACTACTGAGCCGACGTGTACCGCCGCGTCGAAAAACGCTATATTCCTTGTTCTTATGATGTATATTCCCTTGCGAGTTGTCGTTGACGATCATTTTTACTAAAACTTATTCTTCGGAGATTACCATTAAAAAGATTACTCTCCCGCGCGACGTATTCTTCGCGTCGATGTAAAATAATAGTCTCTTTCAATGTGATATCACGCGTTCGTTTTTTAAAGATTATAGAAATTGAAACGTTTCTATCTGTTCTGAAAGCTAAAGCTTACAGAAGCAAGATCGGATCGGATATTCTGCGTGCTCGATGCTTAATTCTTGGTCTTAACTATTGAAAACTGAAATCAACGATCGTTTGGTCCTTTAATGCGATGTAATTGAATGAAATGAACGGTTCCCTCTTTCATTGCTTTACCAACTAACAGAGTTAGTCTAGAATCTAAGCTCTGAATCGTCTAACCATGAATCCATCTTGAGAAGTTTTCGAAATTTATTTGAAAAAAAAGTCCCGAAATGATGGCAAAGTTTGTTATTCCTGTAGTTATACGCACGGCAACGAGATATAAAGCTCAGGTATTTCTTTTATTTTTTTTTTTTTTTTTTCGCCGTGCAACGTAGACCCATGGGGCATCCTCCAACGGAAGAGATACTGAAAATGGAGTTTTCACTTAAATTAACTCTCCTCAAAGAGTGGAATCTACTCACAACTGCACGAGCTACGTCCCTCGTGTACGTTGCAACATGAACCTGCAACGGACGTGATGTTCGAGTTAGAGAGAAAAAAAGGAAAACGAAAGAGGAAAAGAGACGAGGGTCGCCGGTTCATTAACGTTCAGTCGGATCTATGATTTCATGTTAACTTTATCCAACGTTATTTTCTAAAAGAGATTCCTTTGTCGTAATCACTCCCATTCTAACTTGTCCCTTTTGTAAAATAAAATGTCGTCCAGATTCGATCGAGTTAATAAAATTTCCTCCCCCTCCTTTTTCCAACTTCGATCAAAGAAATCTTAATACTGGATCATCGAATGATCGTTCGAAGAAATACTATTGGCAGTCTTAAAGAGAAGAATAATCGCTCCAAGTTGTTTCACAAATTTTGCCACCTCGTTCAGTGAGAGAAATATTTCATTTCAAAATCTGTAGAAAAGCCGCGTGAATACCGAACGGATATTTCGGGCTTTGCTTTGATTGCAAGTGCCAATTAACGGGTTCTGTCGATATAGTCGTTATCGTCGATGTCGTTTCACGCGTGTACTCGCATGCCCGTTAATCACGCCGAGTATAGCTTGGCGATTCGTCGAATCTTAATACCAAAATACATAGAAACTTATCAATAATTTCTATAAATGAAATCATATAAAATGTTTGACGATTTGAAAGTACAACGGGAATCAGAACGGAACGAAAACGAGCTTTCTTAGAATGATTCTCAAGAATCAAAACAGAGAAATGAAAGTTTCAGTTCTATGAAATCAAAAACGAAAAACAATCCGGTTAGTCGGTGATTTTACTTTCGAAATTGATTTTCTTGCGAAGTAAGTTTCCGTGACTTTGCAAGCTGCCACCTTAAACGTGGCGAGGATGAGGATGAACCTGTTCGAGGACGAGAGGATTATACCATAGCAGTGAGGATGTAGGACGAGCCTAGGGACCAAGCCTCCCCCGTTCTGCCTGGGGTTAACCAACATTTACATAGGCGCGAACGTAGACTGAATAACAATGCTTGAAACGGAGCTAAAACCAGCCGTGCCGTTCCACCGAGACGGCACGTTCGTCATCCTTCTGTGTTGAAGCACATCCTTCTACGGGGTGTTCAATTGTGCCATGTATCGAACTTGCATAGAAATTAGGATAGATGAATAGCACTTCGTTAATTGAAACTTACGAATGTCAAAATTTCAATAAACTGATCAACATATACAGCAATACGATCAACACTCGAGTACCTAAATCCATGTTATGTGTCTCTGTGTAAGAAACTTTAATAACTTTTTATTGAATTATACACGTAACGCGCCAAGAGAAAATCATCTTCTTTTCATTAATTTCATTAAAAGTCTCTAAAAAGATACGATACTGTAAAGAAAAAATCGAATACAATTTTTATATATAAATCAGACAATCATGATGCTAAAAATAGAAAGGTCTACGCTTTGATTGATTGAACACAATTCAAGAGATTGAACATTTGACGAATCGTATCGTGTCAGAAGCAAACATGGAACCTTACCCCCAACATCCTACTCGTTCAGGATATCGTCATATTTTTAAAGCAACTCAATACCCTCGATATCAACTTAGTAGAAAATTAATAATTACAGAAAGATAGCATATTCACATCATCAACGTGATAAATTGGCTCAATAAATATAAAAAGTAACGTACAAGATTGTTCATGTCAATGAAAAGGTATAATAAGCGAATCGTATTAAAATCCTAACTTTATTATATCACAACAGATTTTATTTTTCATATAATCGGAGACAGGCATTTATGATATACTATACAATGTATTATTTTCAGGTCGATGTTATTTTGAATTCACGCGCATCATACTCTTTACGACATCTTATTTACTATAGTTAAATGCAAAGAATGCAATTGACCCGTCCATTTATCAAGAGCATTATAACGTGCTGCACATACTGATTTTTTATCCAATTCAAGCACTTGGTTCACCTGTATACGATTTGACGTAAGATAAAGGAAATAAAATATTTCTGAATGATTGAAAAATTTGTTGCATTACCTGATCAATACGACCACGAATAGTACTATCCAAAATACAAGACACTAAAAGACTTTCGACTTCTGATACATCGATATTTAACTCTTTGCTTATAAAAGGGATATAAATTCTAGTGTATGGCTTAATTAATTTGATTAAAACCTATGAAATGACGTAAATACATGTTATGTTTGGATTTTTGAAAACACTGAAAAGTATAGTGTACATGTATTGCATATACCTGTGTGCGTATATTACGTAATAAATCTTCGATGTGTTCTCTTATAAAAGGATCATCCATTATGTTATTTCTGTTTTGTTTTAAAATTAATTCAAATTGATTAATGTCATTATTTTGATAACTGACTACTAAATTTGTCATTGCCAAGATTTCTGGATCATTTTTATATGGTTTTGCTTCCTGAGAGTCAAATGGATTGATACCAGATTTCATAAGCCTGTTTTACATACATTTAAATGTTAACAGTAAATTACACCAATATTACAGCATGCTATTTCACCCATTTAATTTGTTTTACTTACATATTTGCTAGAACTAAATATTTCAGACATGTAGTACGCCTTGGTGATCCAGACTCATCATAATTTTTAAAAGCTTCAAAGAAATCAGTGTGTGCTCTTTCAAATTCACCTTCTCTCAAATGCATTTTTCCTCCACATTCTTTTATAAACGAATAAAAAATTTTATTTTATATTATTAGATACTTTTAAGTAGTTCCTAGTAATTTGAACTATACTACCTCTAATGACTCCCATTATTAATGGATGTGGTATAGCACTTTTAATATGTAAACTCTGTTCATATAAAGTTTTTAATTTCTTGTTATTTTTTTGTGCAGTGTACATTTGTATTTCTAATGCATAAATTTCCAAAAGTTGTGTCCCTTTTTTCAAATCATCCTCTCCATCATCAGTCTAATAAAATATGATACTTATGATGTATGTATATTGTATTAATAAGTTTTATTTTCTAATGTAACTAGAGAAGTCGTACCTGACAACTTTGATGGAGTTGTTTTAGTATCTTTGCTAATTTATTAAAATCTGATCGGTCAAAGTATAACTTTCCCAATTTCGTATTAGTTTTAAACCATAACCTATCATTTTTGGCATCCTTCAACGCATCTAAAGTAGTTTCATAAAAATCTTGTAACAATTCCATCTGTAAGATATTTAATAATAAAGAAGCAATGTTTGAAATTAAATCAGCTTACATTCTTACTCACATTCTTTGAGGTACTAATATAATCTAATATGGAATTTATTGATTTTTCTGAATGGTTTCTGGTAACTGCACTTTTAATATATGTTAATAATTGCTTATATCTTGCCATCATTTCCTTATAATTACCCTAAAACAATCAAACATTATAACAAAAGTACGTCCTATATATTTATATATATATCCTATATTAATCCTATATATATCATTAATCCACATCCTATATCAATCTAATATATCGTACCAATTTAAAATTAATTTTTATCATTTGCTTCAATGCCTTGAAGCCCCATTCACCCTTTTCTCCTCCCTCCAAATCCAAAACTTTTTGAAAACTTTGTAGAGCTGCCTTTGGATCATCCTCTTTTAAAGCTTTACTATTATAATATTGATTTTCTAAATCAACATCAGGTTCTGAATTTGAATCCTCAGAGTATTCCTAAAATTATTACAAAAATAATATCACGTCGAAATTGATATCCAAAATAATGTCACAGCTAAGCAAAGAAAACAGAAAGTGTCATTTTAAAAGCATCAGCATAATCTAAGAAAATACAAATTATCATATAACTTCGATTTATTGCTAGCAGACATCTAAGTAACTTTGTTTGCTGTTATTTCAACATTGCAAAATATCTCTAAAACTATTTTTAAATTTCATATACGTCAAAATTAAAATTCTAACCAATTTCTTAAATGCTTCCTCGTACATTAACATTTCCCTTCTAAGAATACAAATACTCACAAGACCATAATCTTCTTCTTCCTCACACATAAAATCATCTTCACCGTCTGACATTTTGCAAATATTTAAGAGATTTTAATTGTAAAAATAAAAAAGTTCACGCAATTCTGTTGACAACCGCAAGCCTGATCAAGTTTGTATTTTGAAATTCACATGTATGCACTGTATGTGTTACACATGTGCTTTGTCCAATTTCTCCAGAGATACCATACTAATATTATTCAATTATCCTATATTATTTTTAACAAACTATAATATAATAATTCCCTTAATAATTAAAATTTCTCACTAGCATATTTGGAAATATTCAAACAATTTCTATTCGAAACTATTTAGCTGTATTTCAAGATAACAGAGAATGTATATGACATTTACTAGTGACTTGTCAAATTCTAACAGATTTCGCTTTCAAGTCCCAAGCCTATGTTTTTGTCAACGTAGTTGGTTACATAGTAGGTTATGTTTCAAATTACGAAATGGTTAATTCAAACGAATCATCAAATAAACCAATACTTTATGAGTTGTTAGAATATTTTATTCGAGAGCAAGAACCAGAATTAATAGTAGGTTAACATCTTGTTGAAATAAAATATACAGTCTACATCTGTTCATAATTCTAAAATGCATTTATAAAATAATATTTATTTTAGAAATGCAAAAATGATTCTATAATATTGCCTACAACAGGGACAATAAAAAATGCACTTAGATATCTTAATAACCGGTATTCTTTACCAGAAAGTATATCACAACAAATAAGTCTTACTCTACCATGGAAATTTGCAATTGGAGATCATGGACGTTTACTTGCTATTTTACAAGAAAATATCATAGAAATTCGAAAAGCAAAAGATGAATATTCTTCAGTTGTTGGAAAAGCTTCTGGTAAATTCATATGACTTCTTAAATCTGTTTAGTCTCTAAATAGATCTAATGTATGTTTTGTCTTTTCAGTACCAAAGGATGCTTTTCCACAATGGCGAAAATTAGCTTGGAGTCCAGATGGAACATTTTTAATATTGGCATCCAGTAATGGTTATACTTCTTTTTACAATGCCTTGGGAAACAATATTTTTAATATCAGTCCAAAAACCATATCCCAGAATCCACATATTTTAGAAGCTGGTGATGCAATAGCTTCTATGATATTTCTCAAACCAAGAATGAAATCTGACAAATGGTCTTATGAATTTATGTTAATCACATATAGTGGTTTACTTAAATCATACCACATTTCTACAACTAATGAATATGAAGCAAATTATGAATTTTCTTTTGGTACTTTTTATAAAAATGGAATAAATGCTGTTGTTTATGATGAAAAACATCACTTATTTTATGTTGCTGGAAATACCATAACTCAGAAATTAATGGTAATTAATGTATTTTTTATATATTAACTTAGAAAATATAATGTTCTCAACTATATATAAGTTATATTACAGTCAACAGCTTCAGATAGTGGATTAACATCATGGCGACCTCTAAATGAATATCCGTATTGCAAGTTATCGTTTACTTTTGATGATGAATTAAAAACCAAGTCAATATTTTCTATATGGAACATTATTCCCACACTAAACTTGCAACCTGAATCTATCATATTCAAAATAAGAATCTCCCCAAATAATAGATTTTTAACATGTTTACATACAGATGGTTCAATATCTTTATGGAGATTACCTACTTTATTGATACAGAGAAAATGGAAATTATCGGAGCAACCAGATTTTAATATACCTAATCCTTTAGCACATGCAAAAACAAAAAAATTTCCACCAAATGTTACTGAATTTCATCCAATAGATATTGGTTGGTGGTCTGAAGAGGTAATATTCATTTCTTAACTATATAATTTTGTTAATTTATTGTTTAATTGTACGTAATTTTTAATTCATTGATATTTTCAAAGGCAATTATAATTGCAAGATGTTCTGGATCTACTTCTGTGTGTTCTACAACCGATTTAAAGAATCTTTTAGGCCCAAGTCCTGAATTTTTAGCTGGCCAACCACAGATATATGAACTTGGTTCAGACCGAGGTTTTTTATGTTTAGATTGTGAAACGTATATAACAAGTAAAAAACGAAATAGAGACTCCAATACAGAAAATCAAACATCAGGTTTGTGTGAGTTCTTAATTAGTCTATACTTTCTGTATGCACATGTGATATGTTAAATCTATTTTTAAGAAGTCTCTTTGGAAAGTGAAGAAGAAAGTGATGAATTAGAACCAACTAGTATATTAAATTACACAACGAATTTAATGCAAAGTACCTTGTACTCTATCACTGACATTGAAAGATTTCAACCTAAAAAAAAGAAGTTAAAAGTATTGTTTAGAACATATAGAATCGTTGGACTTAAAAGTACCACGCCTGAAGAACTTTATTCAAGAAAAATTGATATAGAGGTATGAGTATTTAGAGGTATTAATGAAATTTGAGATTAATTTATTTGAAACTAAAGTAATCAAAAAATTGTAATATAGGAGTATGAAGAAGCATTGTCTTTAGCAAACATGTATAATTTAGATACTGATTTGGTATATCAAACTCAATGGAGAAAATCTGAATTATCATTGAACGCCATACAAGAACATTTGAGTAAAGTTACAAAAAGATCTTGGGTCCTACATGAATGCATTAGTCGAGTCCCAGATACCATCGAAGCAGCGAGAGAATTATTAAATTTTGGATTGAAAGGTGCTAATTTGGAAACTTTAATAGCAATTGGAACTTGTGATAATGGAAAATTTGTAATAGACAATACTGATGAAGAGTGGGACGAAATGGATGAAGCAAGCATAAGCTTAAGACAAGTGCAAAAAATAAATCAAATGCTTGAAACGATTGACATTAAAAATTTATCTGACGCTCAAAAGGATTTAATTAAATACAGAAGAAAACTTCTAGACCATTTAGACAAGTTGCTCACGTACGAAATTATTTTAGATTCATCGTTAAAGTACGATAAAAACTTTTACGAAGAATTTCGACAGCTTTCAGCTGTTGAAAATGCAATTAAATTTGCAAAAGATGGAGATTGTCGGGGAGTTGAAATTATGTTCACTTATCACAGTGAACGTTTGCTACCTCATTGGTTAGCAATTATTAGCTTCTTTCCAGAAACTTTAAATCCATTGAAATATAAAAAACTTCTGCCAGAATGTGACACTGATGGACAATTATTTCTGCTTGATCAATGTGAGTTACGACAAAAAGATTGGGCTGAGAAAACTGAATTCAATGAAATAATTAATTTAGAAATTGATAACAAGTCACAATTACTTTACGAATATGATCCATCTCTAACTATGTACAGAAATACATTACTTACATCGGAATTGTTACAAAAATGGTACGAGTCGCGAGCTTACCAAATCGAAAGAAATAGTTGTATGATCGATAATGCTTTGCAGTTAATAAAAATTGCCAAATTACATAATATTAATGGATTAGACAATTTATTATTAGATTTGGAAACTTTAGATGATCTCATTTACAAAGTTTATATAGAAGATCTGTCTTTAGATCAATTACAAAAGTTATCTAATTTGGAAAAAATTAAATTGTTAATGAGTATGACTAATGAAAAAAATTTCATTGAGGATATAAAAAATTTTCTTTTGCCGTTTATAAAAAGGAGACATCAGTATCTGGGTGGAGAATTACAGAAACATTTATTTAGTGATTACTTAATATGTATTAGTAAAGAAGACCTGAAGTTATCAGTTAAACTTTTTCAATATTTAAAACACTCTCACGATAATGAGATTTTACAAATGATAGAGAATATTGCGACTTTAGCGTTGGACTGTATATACGCTTGCGATGATCCTAATATGTATGAAAAAGCAACATGCATTGTAGAGTCCATCACTAAAGATCGTAATATAAGATCAGGTGCCGTAAACACTTTGTTAGAGGAGCTTGATAAAGAACTTGAATGTACAAAAATCTTAAATAAATATGGTGTTAAAACTACATTGAATGCATTGCGAAAAAATAAGAGTAATCCTGATGCTGCAAAGCAACTACTGATTCAAATGGCAAGAAGTTTAAACAAACGGTAACTATTTTTTATTTTTCAATATCTTCTCTTCAAAAATGTTTTATATTATAAAATATTTTTTGTTTAATTTAAGAATATCACCTCCAGATGAGAAACAGTGGGCAGAATTATTGAATGAAATGTTAGAAATTCATGGTCTAATTTTTACATCTGTTGACATAGAAATTTGTTTTGAAATTTGCGTATCAGCGCGCTTAGTATCGGGAGTTAAATCTAATATACAAAATTGTGCTGCTCTAATTGAGACTAAGGAAAATGAACAATCTTTATTGAAAGTGTCTTACGAAAAAACAGTGAACTTAATTTTAGATGCTAGTAAGGAGTATTTCAATAGTTCCAAATCTTTAACTGACTCTAATATGGAATTAGCTAGGTGAGTATTTTTAATTCCATCACTAGTTTTTCACCTTTAACTTTTATAAATAATAAATTTCAGAGCTTGCCTCCATCTAATTGTAGATCATAATGTACAGATAAAAGAAGAGTATGATCTCATTAACTCGCTCCAAATTTTGAATGAATTCGATATTGATATATTACCACTTCAAGTGCGATTAATGCAAGACAGATTACAATTAATAAAGGATTGTTTAAATAAAAGAGAAGATGCTTATAAGAGCCGTCAAAGATTATTAACCTTAGCATATTATTTACGAATAGAAAGGAATAGCAGCAAAATGTTAGAAGGAAAGATTTTGGAATTAATTGCAAAAAAAGCACTTGAGGTAGAGTTATTTTAAAATTATTATTTAATATATAATTTCAGATAATTGATCTATAATATAATATAAAACAGGTAAAAGATTTTACTGTCTGTGCTGAAACTTGTCAGCAATTGATGAAAAATAACTACATTCCTGCCTGGACCGTTGCTTTAGAATTAGGGTTTTGTGAGGATTATGAAGATTTAAAAACTAGACAAAAATGTTTATGGTTTGCAATAAACAATGGACCTAGCGATATATTGAGCAAAGCATTAGATCAGATACATTTAATAGAAATACAAACATTACATAAAAATTTAGAGTTATGGATACCTCATGACTCATTCTCTGATGATTTTAATGACGCCGATAGTGAAGAGGAATTTATAGATGCATTAACTACTGTAAGAAATACATTTAGAAATGCCACATTTATTACAGAATGTAGAACTATACTAAATTATTATCAATTTACAGCCGCAGATAGAAACTAAAGAATTTGTTCCAAAAGTTTTAGAAGCTTCAACTGAGATAGTAAAAACTTCTGCAAACATTATGAAAGATTCGACATTTGGTTTAATAAAAAACATAAGTGACACAAATTTTTGGAAATCTAGATTAAAATTTAATTTTTTAAATAATCGGAATAACGACACAGGATATGAAAATCCCATAGAAGTTGATGATGTACAAAGTTTCCCATGTTTTTATGAAAATTTACATAAAAATTGTAAGCTCAGTGAATTTGACACAAAATATGTAAATTATTCTATGCCAGATTTACAAAATACACAGCTCCAATGCTGTCGGGCTCTTTTAAGGATAACTATGTTGAACGAATCTTCTTGTTATGGTTTAGAAGTGAGTGATATTAATCACTGTAAGTATTACATATTCACTTGAATAAAAACATACATAAGTAAATATTTTATATTATATAATCTCTTTTTCTATTTCAGTGTTTTTAGAATGTGCAAAGTACACTATACAGCAGGATTGGTTACTGGGCATGGCATATTTATTTAGTGTACAAAAAAAGTATATAAAAGAAGTACACAATGTTTTAATAGAATTGCCACAAACAATGTTGTACATTCAAACTTCAATGTATTATTATTGTTTGGAATTACATAAGAGCTTATATAAAGATTATTATTTTACAAATTTGTATCTATTTGATCCATTGAGCTTAATGTTGAAAACGATGAATATAGCACATAAATGCAAACGATTTGATATTTATAAACCATTTAAATATTGGCAAACATGTTTATTTAAAAACTACGGAATAAATAAGACAGAATTTCTTGAATCAAATCAAGAAGCAAAAAATGATAGTGCGACTGAAGATAATAAAGAGTCAGATGAATTTAATATTGCACAAATTCAAAGTTCAAGTATATCTATTGAAAAACCAGAAAAGAAAGAAATAAAAGAAAATTCGTCACACATTGAGGAAACTAATATTAAAAAGAGTTTATCTGAACTTGATGACAAAAATGATGTAGAATGGACAGATAATTGGGGCAACTTCTCGGATGAAGATATAATAGAACATGTAGGAAACAAAAAACATATTTTAAATCAGGAACTGTATATAGAGAATAATACTTCTTTACTAAAAGATATAGGAGAATGTACGACCGAAAAGGATCGCTTTGAAGCTTTTGAAAAAATATTTAATAAAATACGGAGTGTTGATCATTTTCATGAAGTAAAAGCATTGTTACTGCAATGGCCAAAATTTAAAGATCCTGAATATACAAAAATTAACAACCATCCAATTTTAAGAATGCTGAAAATAGCTAATGCTTATATCACTGAAAAAGATAAAAATAAAAATAGCAAACAAATTTTTGGAGAATATAAAGAGTTAATAAAAGCACTGTCTTCAATGAATGTAAATTTTATAATATTAATTATTAAACTATGAAGAATTTATCAAGTTTAACTAATTGTTTCAATTATTTACATTAGGTACTCAAAGAATTCTTAAACGCAGAAGAAATTCCACTTGAGCACGCAATTTATATTAGATTGAATATAGATGATCCAGAATTTCATGAAGAAGCAATCAACATTCTCAAAGAAAAATATAAAGTATGCACGAACACGTACTTTAACAAGTTTAATTTTTAGCTTTTATTCTACGCATTTGTACTAATGTTATTTTATGTCTCAGGAATTGACAGTATCGGCACCCATACTAGAAATGTTATTTTCGAAAAATTTGACGGCATCCTTCGACTCGAATCACGAAATATTTAGTCGAATTATTGAACATGTGCTGGTAAATCGATCTTTAACAGATGTAAAGGAAAATGCAGAAATTCTTATACAAGAATTAAAGAAAAGGAAAGATATTGCACATGCTTTATGCATAATTAGAGTAATGGAAGATATACCGCCATCTTTATCTACGTTTAGTACTTGTTACGAACTTCTTATGAGAAAATGAATATTTATTCTTTCTTATAAAATTTAATATATGTAAAATAAAAATATAAAACGCGACAAAATGCAATTAAAAATTTCATTAAAAATTTCAAAATACTATTTTATTTGTGAAATGTGAAAAAATTTTTTAAGGAAACCAAAGCAATCGCAAAGCTTTTAAATTTTCATATATATCTAATATTTTAAAATTAATATGTACATATGATGAATATTTGTTACAATATGTTATTTGTAAATATAAATAAATGATGTATATTCAAATATAAATGTACAAGAAAAAATATTGACAATTTATTTCTTATTCCTACCTTGTATAGTCACTCTTCTTTGCAAATTAAAATCTTGAGAAACTATTAATAACTTGTATAATGTAATACAAAAAAATTCTTGTAGTTGTATGATGTATTACAAAAAATTCGAAAACTGTAGCATTTTTCAAAATAAGATTTTAACTGTAATGCGCGCGCAATTATACTTGCTCAATTCGAAGTTCAACTAAGATAAAAACATTTATATTCATAATAATAATTTGTAACATATAATGAATTTACGTTTAACCGAAAGCCAACGTTTTTATGAATTTTTTGTGATTAATTCGTTTCTTTAAACATGTTATATTATAATTAAACTCATAGAATTAAAGTTCACGGAACACAGAACCGATTTGCTTTTAAAACGATTAAATGGCGGACTGACAGTACTGATCGGTGATTGGTTGAAGATGAACTGAAGAATTGAAGTTATACAGGTGAATTATACGTATCGTGTACCAGTATAATGAATGTGTACTTACACAGATTTGAAAATTTAATATAATATTTTATGAAAATTTAATAATCAGTTCCTATGTTTTTCTAATAATCTATTATTATTTACATTTTTTATTACGAGATATTCATATTTTGACATTTTATATGTGTTTTGTTATATTTATTATAAAGCTATTTGTACTTGTAATTATGTCATAAAGTGAAAAAAAATTATATAGAAATTGATATAATAAAAAAGTGATAAGTTTTAGTTCTATTAGTTAATTTCTTTATTAGTGAAGTCTATATGTATTTAACCTACACAAATTATGTGCAAGTTGTGCGCTTATTGTTATTAAAAATATGATATAAATATTAATAATATATTAACTATCAGCTTTTTATATACGTATGTTTTTTTATTTTTAGGATAAAGTTTACTTAATTGGAGAAATATTTTGTACTTTAAAAACAGTGTTATAAAAATGTCTACTATATTAGGAGCAAATAGTCCATCTAAAGATGAAGTATTAATAGAGAATTCTCAACATTTTCAAGAGCGTGCAGAACGAAATCGTCAAAAAGCATTACTTTTAAAAAAGTCTAAAATAGTTTCTCATCCTTACATAAGAAAGTATGTCATCATACACTAATATTTAAAGCATTAATACTTTAAGAAATAAAAATTATTTAATTTTTTTAAAGTGAAGATGGAGATTCAGCAAAGAGTGTATCCTTCAAAGTTCAAGGACAACGTGTCATAGATAGTGGAGGAGGTTTTCTTATAGAAGAAAGTGATGAATTAGAAGAAGAAATGGTACAGTATTTTAAATTATTAAAATAACTGTAACATTAAATATTAATGTTACATAATGCACTATGTAAAAATATATTCAACTTTGGAACTAATATTTTTCTTTTTTTTTTTTTTTAGTTAAAAATAACATCAGATCCTGCTCCAATACTTATAGATTTTCCTCATTGTGATGAATGTAAAAAGGAATTTAAAGATTCATACTTATTACAGACATTTAATATGTCTGTATGTGATAACTGCAGGTATATAAGCATTATTTGAACTAACAATTATTTTAATATAAAGCTTTATTATATTATAGTTAGTTATTGTAACTGACAAAATATTGTAATCAGTTATTTGGTATTAGAGATCCCAAGGGCAAACATTCTTTGATTACAAAAACTGAAGCAAAACAAGAGTATTTATTAAAGGACTGTGATTTAGATAAAAGAGAACCTCCATTAAAATGTATCACTAAGAAGAATCCCCATAATGCAAATTGGGGCGAAATGAAACTGTACTTGCACCTACAAGTAGAACAGAGAGCTTTAGAAGTATGGGGTTCTGAAGAAAAATTATTAAAGGAAAAAGAATTGCGTGATATTAAAAAGGAAGAGACTAAAATAAAAAAATTTAATAAGAAGGTAATAAATATGTTTCAAACATATACAAAATAATATTAATTAGATATTTTTATCTTAACAAATTACTATCTTTTTATTGTATAGATTAAACAATTAAGAATGCAAGTCAGAAGTTCGTTGTATGATAAAACATCAAAAGCATCTCATACACACGAATTTGGAGAAGATACATATAATGAACATGATGATACATATACACACATTTGCATTTCTTGTGGATATGCAGAAACATATGAAAAAATGTAAATTTTATAATAATAATGAATATTATGATATTTATTAGATTGTTTGTATAATTTTCTTATATTGAGAAATTACTTATAACTCATAAAATGCGTACACATATTAAAAAAGGATAAAAAAATGACATCTCTTATTTATTTATTATATTTTTTACTCTATTATTTAATTCTCGATTGAAATTTATTTTTTGTACTAATAAAATTTTACATATTACAACGAATTCTTAATTTTTGTGTTATTTAAATTGTTAAAAACAAGAAATATAATTAAAAATTTTTATTTGCATTATAATGTTGTGATGATATATATATATATATATATATATATATATATATATATATATATATATATATATATATACGCATGTATGTATTGTTCAATTCTGGAAAACAATTTGATTGTACTCTCAATATACTACATAATGTACAGTCTTAACATTTTCAGTTACTGTTATACCAATCTAACTAAATCGTTACAACGCTAAATATTAATATTGCACTATGTAAAAATATGACTGTTTATGCAAAAAAATAAACTTTGCACCATGTTAATTTTATACAATCATAGTTAACTGCATATTTTATTGTACATTAAGTACATATTCCATCACATTTAAAATACTATATTCTGCTTGCAACATAAGACAAACTTTTAACATATTCGATTAATTTTTTCATTTGATTCAAAATTATTATTATTACACCTTCGTTTAAATTGTTGAAGTTTATTTAGTTTTTGATATATACTTTTTTATGTACACAAAAAAAATATTTATTCGAAATATTATGTTCAAGCAGTCATACAGTGCATAAAAATATTCTACTAATAGGTCAGAATGAAGTTTATATACCATTAATGTTAAGATTTCTCTATGAACTCTTTACAAACATTTTGTACAGGTTGTAATATATTTGGCACGGACAAGTTATCTCCTGTAGTATTTTCGGGAATATTTATCGCATTTGTTACAGTGGTAGATGATCTAAAATAAAATCGTATTATAAATTTTATATTATTCTCTTAAGTTTTTTATAATTTTATTATTCTCTTAAGTTTTTTATAATTTTTACTTTTTTCATAAACATACCTGTTGTGCCTAAGGTGACTTTTCACCAAATGACCAGCCGTAAGTGCAGCCATTAATGATAATTCACCGGCAAGTACTGTGGCGCATATTACTCTAGCTAATCTGCTGGCATTTTCACCAGGTTCTTCAGCATGTGCACCTTGAACACCTAACATAGCTAAGCATGCCCCTTGTGCGGGAAGACCAGTTCCACCTCCAACAGTACCAATTTCTATACTAGGCATTGTACAAGACACATATAGATCTGATCCATCTGTTCCCCATGGTTCCATTAAAGTCATACAATTACTACTTCCAACATTCTGTGCAGGATCTTGACCCGTAGCAATAAAAATTGCTGTTACAATATTTGCGGCGTGTGCGTTAAAACCACCTACGCTGCCAGCTACAGCAGATCCAATCATATTTTTACTTATATTCACATCAACTAAAGCGTGAACTGATGTTTTCAACACATTAGTAACAACATCTGCAGGGACCACTGCTTCACAAACAACACTTTTACCTCTACCAAGAATCCAATTCACCGCTGCTGGTTTTTTATCCGTACAAAAATTACCGCTCAAGGATAATATATCCATATCAGGAAAATGTTCCTTCACTGTATTCAATGATTTTTCGGTACCTTTGGACAACATATTCATACCCATAGCATCACCAGTTGTGGCCACAAAACGAATAAATAAATGCCTGCCAGCAATACGTACATGAATCTTCGTCAATCTTGCAAATCTGCTAGTTAAATCAAAACTCTCCTTCATTTTTTTGAAATTTTCAGAATCTTGCATCCATGCCATGGCTTCAGTTGCTCTAACGATATTTGGAAATCTCACAACTGGTCCTCTAGTCATTCCATCAGCAACTACGCGGCTTGTTACACCACATTTTAACAATGCTCTACTACCACGATTTGTAGATGCAACTAAACATCCTTCTGTCGTTGCCATTGGTACATGATATAATTCACCATCAATTAATAATGGACCAGCAATTCCAAGTGGTACTGGCACATATCCTATAACATTTTCACAGCAGGATCCTAATACTTTACTATAATCGTAATTTTTGTACGGCAAATCGGAAAGATTATCAAGGAATTTTCCAGCCTCTCCAATTATAAGACGTCTGATTGTAACACCCCGTTCCATATCACCAACTGCTTTCTCTAACTGATAAGCAGGTATATGCTTATTTTTTACTAAATGGATTACTTCCTCATCCGTCAATCCGTTTGCTCCAAGCTATGAATTTAATAATATATTTAAAAATTAAATATAAATTGAATTATATATACTTATAACAATTTTACTTACTTCAGATTTGTACACTTCGAGACATTCTTTTAGAGATCTAGGAACTTTCAATCGTGAAGGCTGACTTTTATTGTTCGGCTTATCTACATTACATTGTTTCTCGTCTGTTTGTACTTCTTTGTCACCGATCCAATCACGTACCTTAGATGGAAGAGAGATAGTTTGCATTCCAATAAAGTTTCCAAACGATATCTTGGTGGTAAGCATATTCATATCTTCACTTTCATTTTCTTTTTCTTTCACATATTCATTTTCAATTTTCTCTTCCGTATCGTCCTCAACTTTAGATCGTAATTGTTTAGCGATATCCCCTTTGTCTTCGAAGAAAATGAATTTAATCGCGAGTGCAAGAAGAAGAATCAATATCACAATATTATCTGCACTAACTGACAACCAATTCATTAAATACTCTTTGACCTCAGATGGGTTTTCTGTCTTGTTGTAAGAATTCACTATCATATGTGAATTCGCGGAAGATACATCACCTTCTACTGTGGGTTCGCTTTCGTCACTCTTGAAAGGCCACCGACTAAAATAAATAAATATTTTATGTCAGCGTCTATATCGATGTAACTCCTTAAGTTTATGATTCATCTAATTTTATTATATCTTTTCATATAATAATTTACAGAGATTAATGTGATGCTATTTTTGTGTAATTTGAATTTGGTATAAAGATATTAATAATTATCATCATTTATAACTCGACACAGAAGTGTCATACACCATTTCCTAACTTAGCATACGAAGGGATAAAGGAACCCAAACCTCGTCGAGATTCTATCTCTTTCTGCACAATTCATTGAATATGAATTAAATGTATATTTATGCTACTGTGTAATAAGTTGAACCTGACCTGTGGAAGTTAGGAATAAGGAAACTGCCAAACAAGAAATACACTCGGGTAAAAAAAAAAATACACATCGTATGGGGCAGATTTGTGATAACTTTTTGTCAGTTTTCTTCCTATTGTAACGCGTTATCTGATGTATAAAATGTAAAGTTCATTTCAAACGAAAACGGAGCTCGTATATATTGCGGAAAATGGAAAATAAAACAAAAATGTAATACCTGTTAGCGTGTACCACAAATAGGCCAGCGATCATAATCAATTTAACGCGTTCTACTACCGGATTTGGCTTTTGATCCTCTTCGTTTAATGGGTGCATTATAAAAATCTTGTCAGCACTTAATGGTTTCATGGCATTAGTTTCACGAGAAAGCTAAAAAATGACAATACAATTCGATGTATATAACAAACAAATTTATACATTTGTTTTAATAATTGGCACAGAAGTCTAGGAATTACCTCGAGAATAAGCGATAAACACGCAGGATAAAATGTCATGAAAACGATATAATTCACAATAACACCTAAACAAGCAAAGCTGCATAAGATCTCTAATCTTCTAACGCCAGATAAAGATCCTATGCTAATAAGTAGAGTTTCTACTAATGTGTCTAACGTAATAGTTGGTCCTAAGAGCGACATGCCGCGAGCAATATTTGCTCGCACTTCCTCTTGGTTTCTGGAGCTTAAAGCCAATTGTGCTAATATAGCGGCTTTTGAAAGGTCGATAATAAGCAAGAAGAAGAATAATGCATCTCTGAAAAACAATAACTTTAATAAAGGAATTGAATATGAAAGCACTTCGCAATTTCTTCTATATAAGAACTTACTTTAAATCGGAAATGTCACTGCGCCCGAAATTCACTACGCTGGACGTGAAAACAACACTGGAAAATACTGTAAATAGACCGGCAATACCTAGCAAAACATTTAAATATTTTAATACTGTCGTTTTATTTCATTACTACTCATTAATGTTTATGTATTATTATTTATTATTTGAAGCTAAATTGCGTACTAGATGTTATGTAAATTCAATAATTAATTGTCATCGCGTGTCGTACAGAATGAAACGTTATCGCTTTCCATGAAACTTTCTCTGACACTAAAAGCTTTCACGCGTACCGTGAAAAGATCCGGTTATATGAATAATCGGACAATACATTGCTCTTTAAATTGTACATTATTCTCTAAACAGGCATTTCAATTTCGATCAAACTTACATATTCGCTTACCTAATATATATTTTGAACCCAATTTTTGTAGATTACGAAACTGATGATAAGTGAACAATATAGCTAGACATCGTATTATAGTCATGACTATAATATCAGCTGCATTTAGATCCTGATAAATAATCATATATTACACATATTGTAAGACTATCTCGAGACTTATTTTCATCACTAGATGAAAGACACTGTTCGTCTCAGAATCGAAAGTTAAATCAGATATTATTCAAGATCTACTTACGTCCGAATTACATCTACCGGGTCGACAATGCAAAGCTAAAGGAAGGGTTCCATCTCGAGGATGTCCGCTTCCGGTCTCCATGTTCAGAATGCATGCTGTAAGTGTGAAGGTCGTCACAATTACTTCCAGGGGATGTCCAGCACAAAATCGGCCGTGAATTTCGAACAGATGCGCCAGCATGTTCTTCGTTTTTAATAACTACTTACAACCTGAAACACAAAGTATTAAAATGTATTTTATTTTAAACATTTGAAATTCGTTCAACGAGTTCTTTATGTTAAATCGACTTTGAAATATTCTTGTCATATTTCTCTTTTTTGTAAAATCGAACCACGACCGATGCATAAAAACAAAATGAATATTACATGTGTTAGCAAATTTAAAAAAAGTGTCTGTTCGCTGAAAATGTCGTGTAATTACTGTTACAAAAAATACTCGGTAAAATCGACAGAAAAAACTTGGCGTCTTAACTTCAAAGTAGAAAAAGGCAAAAAAAAAAAGGCATCTCACGAATACGAAAAGATGCAGGTAAAGAATAAGTTCACGAAAAACGGGTGAAGTGTGATAGAGTGATACTAATACTCTATTAATGAAGTGTGTTAATAATACTTTATATAGTCATAATATTTTCAATTACACAACACGATACAACACGTGTGTGGAATAAGATTCGATTTCTTCTCACGAAACCGAAATTCCGTTTGTACCGGTTTGACTCGACGGATGTTCGAAAGCTCGTTGCTGAGAGAAAAGTTGAGCAACACGAAGCAAAGGTGAAGGTAACAAAGATACCGATAGGTAATGATTTTAAGGCTAGAAGTATAAATAGATGGGCTGTCTATAGCACTACAATGTTTAGTTGAAATCAAAAATGAAAACGCTCAGAAGGAATGGGAATTGTACCTTCGTCGATCTAACTATATATAAATCCAACTATGCACACGATGTAAATATCGAATAAGAAAAAAAAAAGAATAATTCAATTACAGACATAAACTAAAAAAGTTAAAATGGTGTCAAGATCGGCAACTTTCCAAGACCGTATGAGAACATTTTTATTACATTCTACATTCGAGTACTCTATATGTTACACAAATTATCGTTTCACATGTATTTCTACAATTTATTACCTATTTAAATAGAAAAATAATTGAGGCATTAAGTACACATTAATAATTAATATTTGCATCAATTATCATAACATCAGGAGATAAGATGAATATTAGTCAAACATACAAAAACTAAGATAACAATATGGAAATTTTTTAAAAGAAAATGTAAATCACCACAAAAACATTCGAAATACTCAAAGTCACTCTCGTAAAATTATATATAGACATTTCTACAGAAGAGACATTCGAAGATTTGCATACAACCATGAAAATCTGCACGCACATGCAAGATGGAAGAAAGTTACACAGTTCTAGCTAAAATCACCCTAATCAAATGGGAAATTATTGAAAAAGTTATAATCATAAAAAATGAAAAACCATGATGCCTAATTTCTGTACAGTGTACATAAACCACTGATCTCATATTTTTAATGGAATCATCGTCGAAAGTATTTACTCCGTGATTTTGAAATTATATTGTCATAAATTCACGTAAAATTTTTCTGAGAAAATTCAAAAATGTTTCTCAAAAATGTTCTCTCAGAAAAACATGAAATATCTCCTGATTTTCCATTTTTTAACATATTTATAATCATTGAATATGAATTTCAAAAAAAAATAAAGAGTATGACCAAGTTTATCAAATCGATTAAATATTGACAATGTTTTACATTCTGTCATTACTATCTTAATTATTAAGATAATTATTAAGATAATATATGTGGAAACCTCTTGGAAGAAATTAAAAATAATTAGGCTGAATATACATACACAGTAATATACGTAGATATCTGAATATTTTGGTAAAATAGTAATAGTATGTAAATTATGTAAAAATAAATGAAATAAGCAAATTACAAAAAATCCTTTTACGTACTAATAAATTTTGGATATCATTACGGAAATAAAGTTAATAATTTTTGCAACTGAAACAAAGTTTCTTCATCCAACTCACAGTTTAGAAATTCAGTATGAAGATAGTTCACGAGATAAATTTGAAGAATTTTTTAAATAAAAATTTAATATTTAAGTTTAATATTCTTGGCAACTATGTATGACAATTTTGTACAATTACATATTAACTTTAAAAAGAAAATTTTATTGTCATGAAATTTTATATATATAACTGTAAAAAGCATAAAGAATAAAATCATTGTAGACGCCTTTATTCATAATTTTGTTAATGGGTTACATTTTGAGCAAATGTCCAATATTTTTAACAGTAATATATGTACATATATATTATTGTTTAAATAGGTTAGACCACTTAAATGGGATCACTTAAATAACTTCGTTGTTTTTAGGCATGCACAAAGTTTAATAAAAATTATTCAGTATTAAATAAGAAGGCGATAATATGACGACGAGTAATAACTTTTTATAGGAGGGTCTAAGATTATTTCAAGGGGTCTAAGAATGTTCACTTTTTTAAAGTGGAATATTCTTTGCTTCATTGATCGATGCAACTCGACAATCTTTATAAAAAAGAATTAACCTATGCACTTCGAGAAACTACTTTAGTTTATTGTATGAGAGACAAAAAGAGACAGGAGTAGTATTCTTGTTTTCATACTCTTGTACATACACACACACACACACACACACACACACATATATATATATATATATTTCTTTTATTCTATTATAGATTTTATAAAATTAAAATATTTCTTAAATTACAAGTTTTCCAACATACATAGGACAATAGGATTTTATAGAGAATATCGAAATGCATCGATTAGTGAATAAAAAAATACATTATTATGATTAAAAAAGTGGAAATGATCATGAAATCTCCGAAACCTCTCTATCTGCACAAAACTTCGTTATTGTCATATTATGGCCCCTTTAATATTGAATAAAGTTTATCTATGTTTCTAAACACAACAGAGTTATTTAGATTAATGATCCATTCTGTATACGTATTTAGTTGTTTACCTTGTTATTTCTATGTTGTTCTGCTAATTAACTTAGCTTTATACAGTATCTAGATATAAATTAGCGAAAATTTCGCACTTTTTAAAATGCTTCTTAATACATTAAGTCGAAGTTCGATCTCTCAAGATAGACAAAATTAAGCATTATCGTACATACATTTGCGATGCAAGTACACTTCTTACTTTTCCCAAATTATTGAATCATTAACTAATTTAATGATTTATTCTACTTAAAGTGAAAAAGTGAAAATAAAAATGGATGAACTTTACCATCTACTGAATTTACGAGAACAATTAGTTGCAAATATTTAGTTGCGTTTTCTCAGACGATTATGTGTAAAAAAAAAAAGGTGAAAATAAAGAAAACGTGAAAGCCATGGAAAGCATTATTATTTATACTTTAGTCTAAAATGAATAGAAAGTGTAATCGAATATAACGAACATGAAAATATTTCTGATTGTAGTTACATATAATTTTGTGTTTTGCAGATTGATTTTATAAAATATAAAAATATTTCTTTCATTCGTAAAAAAACGTTTCGAGTTTAACTCTTACCAATTTTTATTTAACAAGCTTATCAGTTTTATAGTCGACGCTAATATTTATATTTCAATTTGTTGAAGACATTAATTTTCTTAAATGTATTGTTCTATATATCTCGACAATTCATCCTGCCACTAAATCTATCTATTTGCTGTGTTAAATTCGTTTTCTCCGCGAATCTTGTACAAAATAGAGAATTTTTTTTCGAAGTAAATTCGAGCTGAATTTTTAATATGAAAATTCCCGAGTTACTAAATACAGGCTATCATGTATAATGTAAAATGATGATAGCAGACGTTAATAAATAGTGATAGATAATAATAATGTCAATAAGTACTCTATTATTGAAATGTATTAATTAATTATCAAATTTATGAAATGATCGCTTTAATGAAACGTATCAATTAATTTGATAGCTGAAAAGAAATTATACTGTGTTATAAAGTTACAGAACTAATTGAAATCTAATTACTAATAGAACTTTATAGACAGATACTTCATACATTTTATTATACATTAAATATTTATATGTTATAAGATTGATTATAACTGCAAAAAAATATGAAAGTAGAATGAATTATATATTTATGACATATCACAAGATTGATTATAATTCTAAAATAATGTAGAAATAAAATAAATGAATAAATTAAATAGCAAGTTAAAACAGTTAAAACAGAGTTTAATTAACAGCTTAATTAAAACAATTACAAAAAGTAAAAGAAAAATAAAAGGCTACGATGTGGTGTTGTAACGTTTCGATAAAAAACTGTTTAACTGGTCAGAGAGGCAATTCTAACAAAATACATATTATTGATAGATATTGTTTTATCAACAATAGCAAAAAATATGAACAGGCGTACCTTATTAAAGTACTCTTGATGTATTGCGCACGTGGTTCTGTATCGCATATATACAGTATTTAAGTATGTCAGTTTTTCTCTATTTTATTTTCAACATCAAATAAAATATTCGAAAATATAATATGCAATAAGCAGGACTTTCATAAACATGCGATTAAAAAATATTTGCTAATTAAAATACCGAACAATTCGTTTTCGGAAGCGTTTTCTACTTTTTGAACCAAAAAAGTTCTCGATCGAATTCGTCACGAGTTTCAAAATCACATTTAAAACTAGACTACCGAATACTTCAAACTAAAATTGTGACGAAGAACAATCTTGACAGCGCGGGACTCACCAACTAATAAAGCTGCGCGTATACTCGACCAGTCTGATCGACCCTACAGAATGAGTTTCGACCACGTTCGGCAATTTTCGTATCCCTTCTTTTTCTCTTTCACGTGCACGTGTCTTTATCCTCGGTAATGCAGAATCAGTACCCGCGCCTAGTTTGAAATCAGATATTTTCGTACTATTAGAAAAAAATCAATCAAAAAATCAATTTTCGAAACAGAACGTTTAATTTTCGTACTTATTTCATTTCTATTCTTACTATCACTTTCATGCGAGCATTTTTCTAAAACGAAATGTATGTGTATAGTAATGCACGTGTCCCTCAGTTATTCCTACATTAATAAATGGATTAGTGATCGAGTTACTTTTTTAAAAACACAAACATGTGATTCAATACGAATTAATGCAATAGTAATAGATCAATATTTAGCTGTATTTGATATGACGTTTAAAATGATCCTACGGTTGATTTCAAAAGACTTGTGAATTTAAAGATATTCAACTCTGCGCACCACATACTTAGAGTGAAAGCACGATTTTGATGTTTCACGAAAGTTCAATTCTATACAAAACTTTTTGCAAATATAAAAAGCAGAAATATAATTATGCTTCATTTGTAAGATTTTTTTATTTCGTAAGATAGATGTAAAATGCATACATACATACATAGCAAATTTTCAACCAGCGCTGCTATAATAAATATTATATCATTACTTATTTAAAAGCGGCAGATATACAATATCCGCGAAAAACGAATATGAAAAGTATCCAGGAATCACCCACGCAAATTTCCAAATGCAAAAAGTATAAATAAAACATTTAATGGATCCATATTAGGATTTCAATGTCAATCCTAAATTATGAAAATTCATTTATATATATTCGAAATATTGACGTGAAAGATGGTTAGAAATATCGTACATTGTCCATTTGTATGAGACGCAAATAACACATTCCATAAAAGGTTTTAAACACAAACCATTCTTCCAGGAACTATTTTAAATACAACAGCAGTGACCAATTCTGTTTCAGAAGACACCATTCTCATCAGAATCGAACCCCGTTATCTTATCCAAATCGTATTACGATTATTGATTAATACCTATCACAACAGATGATCAATCATTTTTTTACAAAATAAAACAATATTTAATTTTCTATTAAATTCTTTCATTCGAATGAAAACCTAGTTCACCGACTTTTTCCAAATCGCCATCATTTATCTATTATATAGTCTATAAATTCAAAAATACATTATATACTTAATGATTAATTTCAAAAATTCAAGTCAATGAATTTCAAAATTTTGGATTTGCAATGATTAAAAAATTAAAGAATCAATCTTCCTTTATGTAGAATTCCTTCCTATAATCGTAGAAATGATCCAAATAACTATCATGGTATTCAATGTTGACTAAAACAATTTATCATCCACTTAAAAAATTGAAGATCATACTTAAATTATAATTCTTCTATATGTATTTAATATAATTTGAAGTCCACACAAGACACAGAGCATTCATGACTTTATCGCGAAGTATTTACGCGATTTCTCTTAAGAAACGTGTGTAGCATACTTATTTGTCGTATTTATAGAATCTATCTAAAAATTCCGTATGGCTAGACAACAATTCTAAAAGAATTAAGCAGCTCAATTTCAATATTTACAATTGCGTGTATCAAAGTCAATTCGCAAAAATTTAATTAATTTGCAAAAATTAAATTGCACTGACAAAATTGTTGGTATTGAAACATATAAATATGGTAATGCTATTAATTTTCATAAGATAATATGTATATGGATAGAATATCAATTTTAATTTTAAATTAAATTGGCTACATAAGACTGTTCTAATTTAATTATATCTATTATCATTTGTACATATATATTAATTATTGTTATTAAAGTATTTCGTATTAATATAAACGAGAAATTTAATAATTAAAAGATACAACATTAGTGTCCTACTTTATGTCAAACTGCTCGAATATTTTAATAAAAAAATTCGAACATTTTACCATATGCATGTATGAATATGAAAACGTACAAATAAATTTTTAAGGAAATTATTATAATTATATAATAAAGTCAACAATAAGCATAAGATTTCGTAAAAAGTGAAGTAAAACTATATAAGCATAAAATGGACATAACCTACAAAACGAAAAAATATAAAATGATCAACATACCGTAAAACTTGTTCGAAAATAAAATATGTTTCATATCAATATCAATATTTAGTAATTGTCATGTTCACTAGCCATGATTTGACATTTTTATTATAATTTCACATATTAATTAACATTTTATGCACAAATCCTTTCAACAATGTACAGCACTTTCTTATACGAATTCTAACGACATCTATAGGACTTCATTTACTATTTAAGATAATCTCTATGATAATTTTGTTTTTTTTTTCTTCTAGACGATATTGATTTAATTTTAACAAAATAAAATAAAATATATAAAAAATATTAAAATATTTGACTATTCAAAATAGAAGTAAAATCATATGCTGTTTTTTATGCATACAAAATGTTAGTAGTTTAGTCAATCATTTACAATATTTAGATCTGCATATGCAAATTCATATTTATTATTAAAATATTACAAGATAAGACATCAAAAATAATTAAAATATATTCATAAGATATATATACGTAGAATCCTAACCTTCCTCAATTCTCTTTCTAATTCTTGATTTAATTGACACTTTTCTATTGTCATTATTTAAAATATACATAATATTATTATAAATCCATAGATATAAATATTATATAAAATTATCATTGATCAATTAAGAACAATACCTTGTTATTTTATGATGTGCTTCAAAGTAACAATTTGTTTCCACCGCCATTTTATTAAATAGCCGGTACCGGAAGTTAATTGCTAGCAAGACTGTGTTTTCGTTTGACGAAACGTGGCATCAAAGTATGTACTGTTGGCACTTCTCTCAAATGTATTTTCCAGCTCGAATGGAATAATTGTTTCGTTTTGGGTGACACGAGTATCGTTGTACAAAAAGGTAACAATTCTTATCGTATGTATAAAACTTATAAAAGTGTTCGTTATAGTTATGAGACTTCTATAAATATAATGGAAAAATTTGTGGTTTTTATTTGAAATATTATTTTACTCTTTTTAATGATAAATTAACGACTTTTTTTGAATGATGTATATATAAATTTCGAGTTTTTATAAATTATAATTAATAATTTAATAATTATAATTAATTTTATAAAAATCAATGATTATCGTTATTATTAAAATTACATATTTATGTAACTTAATATGTGAATTTTACCTATGTTGTTGAAGTATGAATTAAAAATACATAAGACATACACATACAAAATTTATAAATTTTAATATTTTAGCATGAAGTGGCATATCATATTTGCAGCATTTGCTGCTTTTCTTCTTGTGACATATGCAGAAGAAGAAGAAGAAGCTGCAAGATTATTAGTATCTAAACAATTACTTAATAAATATCTTGTAGAAAATATGGACATCGTAATCAAAGTAAGTATCAAAATAAATATGGTTAATGTCTGTATTGTAATTACAAAAAATTTATTATTTATAGTATACAGTTTATAATGTTGGTAATGCGGCTGCATTAGAAGTTGAAATCACAGATAATTCTTTCCATCCTGATCATTTTACTCATGTTAGTGGAGAATTAAATGCAAGAATAGATCGTGTTCCTCCTTACACAAATGTCAGTCATATAGTTGTTGTAAGACCACGTAAATTTGGATATTTTAATTTTACATCTGCAGAAGTTTTATATAGACATAAAGAAGATGCTGGTAGTTTACAATTTGCTGCAAGTAGTGAACCTGGTGAAGCAATAATTGTATCATTTAGAGATTACGATAAACAATTTTCTTCGCATGTGGTAAGTAACTATTGCATATTATATAAATTATAGTGATTGTAATAAAAAGTAAAATATTTATATACTATTTTAGATTGACTGGGCTGCATTTGCTGTTATGACATTACCTTCATTAGCTATTCCATTTGCATTATGGTATTCTAGTAAAAGTAAATATGAAAAATTACTCAAAACTACAAAAAAACATTAATCATATATTTATTCTAAATTGTACAAGAGATTTTTTCTATATGTGTATAAAAAATTTGACTGTCCCCCTTTCTGTACATCTAATTTTATAATAAATATTATTTATAAATAATTTATATTTTTTCTTCATTCCTATGCTTAATTTAAATCATAGATATAGAGATTATAAATATTTATTAAATAATTATTTATTTTTAATCTATTTTGTGCTTATATATTTTATATTTTTAGTTTTGAATAAAATTAATATGAAACTAAATTTCATATCAGCAGAGATATTCGATATCAGCCATACTCCAAAACAGTATCTATTACAGTATAAGTTATGACATAATATATAATTATTTTGGATCACTAAACGTTTATATGTAATTATTTGAGATTATACATATATCAAATAAATAAATGTATAATATTATATATAAACATTATACTAGGAATTATATATATATATATATAAAATTCTTAAACTATAGTTATAATAAATGATCTCAAATATTCTGCTATTTATAAAATTATAATATATTAAAGAATTTATGTGCATAGATTTATGTACATAATTATATACATTTAATATTAATGTGCAAAATGATATGGTCATAAATAATATATAATAAATAATTAATTTTTTATTAGAGGCAGACAGAAATACTAAAATACCATTTTGACAATTGAATATTTATTCTAAATAAGTAAGTTTTTTATTTGTTGAGTAAAAACTAGAAAGTATATCATAAACAATAAATTTCACACAATGTGTAAACTCAATATTATTGAAAGTTCTGTCTTCTTCATCTTTCACTATTGTAATGAAATTAGCTATACAATCAGTTTAGGTTTTTTATTAATGAAACATGCTTATACTTCGGATTAGGTAATTCCATAGAAACTTGCAATAAAGTAATTTCTGTCAAATGTTCTCATTTTGAAAATACATTAATATGGACATCTATAAATACTATATAAATACCTTTGCAGTACAATTTTTTATTCTTTTCATGATATATGTCTTTTTTCACAGATACATCTAATGCAAGAACTATTTATGAATTTTTATAATTATTATTCATTATTATAATTATAATTTCAAATATGTTTATCTTAAAATACCATTCACTATATAAGTCTGATTGTCAGCATTATCTGTACTCTAAAAAATGCGAATAAAAGTTATAAATTTATATTCAATAATATTGCATTGTAGAAAGTATATACATTTTAAACACTTATTTAAACCATAAATATCAGATGCTTCGATTTACAAATTATCGATACTTATCGATACTTTCAATCGATATTTAAATTCCATTAACGTAATTGTCATTGTAAAAAAATAAAACAAAATTATATTGTACTTCAAATATCTCTTTCTTACCTATCACTAATTGAAAAAAGATGTCATTTATTTAGCCTAATAACATTTAAGAAGTATTAAAAATATTCAATTTTCAAGAATATGACCAGTCAAGAAAGCATTGCAGCACGCATGTAACATTCATGAAAATACTGCTTAAATAAAACTGTTGATTTTCTATTTGCCACTTAGTCTTGTTATTTGCCGAAAAATACAAGCTGTTGATGCCTCATTTATTTGATAAGACATTTTACATAAGATTACATGCGATAATTAACAGTCAATATGTTTTGAAACTTATTTTGTGAACGGTTACTGGTCGATTACTTTGCAATTTTTAAAGTACTGTAGAATAATTATCGATAAATTATCCCACATTAGAATAACTTCAAATATATTATTTGGATATGTTGAGTTTATCTTAAAAGTAATTGATCGCGAAAGTGAGATTTATTCGCAAGAATGGCTGATGAAATAGAAACAATTCGACTTGCCAATGACGATATCGAATGTATGGAAGGAGAAATAGATGCTGATGATGTAGATGAAGAAGGTTCGGATGGAGTTGTTGTTCCAGAACTTCAGGGTACATTATCCAAATGGACAAATTATATACATGGCTGGCAAACTAGATTTATTGTTCTCAAAGATGGTACTTTATCTTATTACAAATCTGAGCAGGACAGTGGATTTGGATGTCGAGGTTCAATAAGCTTGTATAAAGCTAATATTAAGGTATAGATTGATATAAAGTAATCAGTTTTTCATCAATTTTGTTTTCTTTTTTTTTTTCTATGAAACTGATGGAAACTTATGATATTACTCTGTACTATTTGTTTTTATTAGGCTCACGAATTTGATGAATGTAGATTTGATGTGTCGGTAAATGATTGCTTAGTATGGTATTTAAGAGCAAGCAGTCCAGAGGAAAAACAACGTTGGGTAGATATTTTAAAATCATACAAGGTATCAAAATTTTATTACATAAATTGGTTGAATACAAATGTTCTTTTTATTAAGAAATATATGTATTTGTTTTAAATAGTCAGAATCAGGTTATGGAAGTGAGAATAGTTTAAAGCGACATGGTAGTGCCATTTCACTTGTATCAAATACACAATCTATTACAAGTGCAGGTAGTTTCACTAAACGTGGAGTTAGAGGACTAAAAGAAAAGTTGGCAGAGCTTGAAACTTTCAGAGATATTCTGATCAAACAAATTGATACTTTACAAAAATATTTTGATAATTGTGCAGAAAATGCTAAAAATATTTCCTCGAAAGGTATATAAAGTAATAATTTTCATATGTATATTCATTTGTTCCATATTCAGTTGTTTCATATTTTCTTTTATTTTTTTAAACAACTACATTTTTTTTGGCTTTTAATTGAATAAAAAAATATTTATTTCAGAAAATAAAGTGGAGACAATGTTTAATCCAGCTGAACAATCTGTGGACTTCAAAGGTGAAGCAATAACATTTAAAGCAACGAGTGAAGGTGTGCTAGCAACATTACAGCATTGTGTTGAATTAATGGTACAACGAGAAGATGCATGGCGTCGTAGATGGGAAAAAGAAATTGAAAGAAAACGAAAAGTACAAGAACTTTATAAAGCTTTGAAAGAACAAGTTACAATGCAACAAAGTGACTTTCCTAGACCTAGAGTTCTTATTCATGGAGGTCCAGATTATGAGGTTGGATTTTATAAATTAACAAACTATATGTTTAATGTATTAACAAACATAATATAAGTTAAAAAAATTTTTCAATTTTTAAGGAAGGTCCACATAGTGCTCTTTGTGATGAAGAATTTTATGATGCAGTAGAGACTGGATTAGATAAAATTGATGAAGAAAATCAGTTAAGAGATCGTTTAAAACAAAAATCAGCTTCAGTTTTAACTACTCCTACAATGTCAGCAATTGAACATAGACTTTGGCCAGAGGTAATTGTTTATTTTTAAGGTATATCATATCTATATTATGATATTATAATATTTCGTTTATTATAATTTTTTTAGATAGAAAAGATAACGATGGAACAATTGCATTATGCTCGTCTTGGAGTAGGAGCTGGTGGATGGCAATTATTTGCTGAGGATGGTGATATGCGCATGTACAGACGTGAAGAAGAAGCGGATGGTTTAGTGGTAGATCCTTTGAAAGCGTGTCATGTTGTAAAAGGAGTGACTGGTCATGAAGTTTGCGAAATATTCTTCAGTCCAGAGTACAGAACAGGATGGGAAGCTACTCTTGAAGATATGATTGTAGTTGAAAAAGTTTCCAAAGATACTCTAATATTTTTACAAACACATAAGCGAATTTGGCCAGCAAGTCAAAGAGATGCGTTATTTTGGTCACATATGCGACGTGTGTCTGATGATCAAGATCCAGATGCACACGATTTGTGGATAGTTTGTAATCATAGTACAGAACATCCTGATTATCCTGTAAGTTTTTAAAGTTTATAATTTAATATTATATATATATATTTATTTATATTTATGTATAATTACATAATATTCTTATATATACATAAAATATTTACAGCCAAACACTGGAAAATGTGTAAGGGTTTATTTAACTGTTTGCCTTGTGTGTCAAACTTTCATTGATCCTCCAAAAGATGAAGATGAAATAAAGAGAGAAAATATAACTTGTAAAATAACTTATTGTTCTGTTGGTTTGTATTATATTATTTGTATTTGTTAATACGGTATTATATAATATGGTAATATATTTATAACATTACCTTTCTTTTTACATAGTTAATCCTGGTGGATGGGCTCCAGCATCTGTTCTACGTGCTGTTTATAAAAGAGAGTACCCAAAGTTCCTTAAACGTTTCACTAGCTTTTGTATTGACCAGTGTAAGGATAAACCAATTACATTTTAAGAATAATTGATAGAACTTCCAAATTTTCCATCCAGTTCTTCATTTATTACATCAAAGCATTTTTATGCTCTTGATGTATTAATATATATAAAAAAAAAATCAGAAGTTAAGAGATAGAAATTTGGAAACATAAATTCTCTCAAGTAATGAAAGTGTTTTATATACTATTTTTTTTATTTGCTTAACATGATCGATGTATATATATAGCTTAGTAAAACAAGATACAAACTGTTATATTGAAAGTGATTTATTAAAGAGTAAAAAGGTATTCACTTCCAAAAGAACTTTATAACGTGGGACGCATGCGCTAAAGCACTGTTTGTAATTACTTCTTTAAACAACAGCTTGTTACTTTATTGTTATACAGAATGCTGTCGCAAGTCACTTGTACAAATCTTAACAAATTGAATATATACACATTTATCTATTGTTACATTATATATCCAATTAAATATGAAACTGTATGATACAAATTATATTGTTATTTTTATTTATACATAAAAAGTGTACATTGGTACACAGTATAAAGGTCAAATGGGGAAATATAATTAATAATAAAGACTGTTGTAGATTTACCGTAATTATTTTAAATCCGTTAGCTTAATTTAGTTCCTTATCATTATCAAAATATAAGTGAAAATCGCATATTTTTATTTTTTATAATTAGAAAAAGTTTGTTTATATATGTTATACAATTTTACAATTAAACAATTAAACATCTACAAGGTTTTAAAATTAGTGACAGAATTTTCATGAGAGATACATTTATTTCTATAAATTATTCAAAATTGAAAAAAAATCATATATATATATACGTCATATAAAATATTTTTACCTGAACATTGAAATTAAAATTTTGTTTCAGTAAGTTCAGTTTAAAAATATTAAAGTAAATATATAAAAATAATTAAGGTAATTTACAAACTATTGTGAATTATAATAATAACCAAAATTGAGAATAATTGTGTAAAAAAATGTATTTTAAATTTTAAAGATTTTATAACAAACAATGCACTTGCATAAAAGATTCTTGTCATTCAAAATTGCAAAACGTATAAAAGATAACGAAACATATGATAAAGTTGAACACTGTAATATTTACAAATTTAATTATTTAATTTTAGCCATTATATTAAAAAATTGTTATTTTGAGCAGTTATAGATACAATATTTAAATGGAACATTATAATATAAAATAATCGCAAATTGAAAAAATAGACATATAATTATGTCTATTTATTTACGATATATGCTTATTGATAAAGATTGCAATTTGATTGAAATTGATTAAATTACTAGAAAACAGTATATTTACAATATATAAATCGTCCACAAATATGTTATATGCATCATGGCAATTGTACATATATGGAGTATTCAATACTCCAAAAAATAGTTGGATAGTCTGCAAAATTTAAATCAATTTACATTAAATTCAATAAAAACCAAATTTAATAACATTTTAAATCCAATACAATTATACGATTTAAATATAATTAATTCTAATTTTAAAAAGCTTAATATTTGTAAAACTTATGATATTGCATTATATGTCTCTAATTATATTTATTACCTGTACATGCTTGAAATAATTTGGTATAAATCAATCATGGATGTAAAATATATATACTTTGCACTTTGGAACGACTTCAAATATAAAAAAATGCATACTTTTTTTCTATATTTTAAAAACTATTTTCCTTAAGATTCATAAGAACCTAATTTTTTTAATACACTAAGACCCTTTTCTTCATATTCTTCTCTTGTTATCCATACTGATTCTCGATCTTTTGTGATTTCTGCCAATACAGCACCGCCCATAAAAACCATATCTTTACGTCTTGGGGAATCTTCAATTTTTATCTTAAATTTCTGAAAAATATTGAAAAATAAAGAAATATAATATTCACTAAAAAATTGCAAAGGTAATATAAAATATTTCATAATTACATTTAACTTTGAGGTATCATTTTTTAATACTCTTTGAAGGTACAGTTGTTTAATTTCTCTTTCAAGTCTAGATGGAAGCCCAGGATACATTGTACTGCCTCCACTTAAAACAATATGCTTATATAATTCACTCCTTATATCAATATCAGCTGCTTGAATAGTACTAAACACTAGTTCAGCAATTCCTTGAGCTTCAACATTTATTAAATGAGGCTGGAATAAAGCTTCTGGTGCTGCAAATCTCTCTCCACCTACTTTTATTACCCTCCCATCAGGCAACTAAAAAAATTTAATAAAATATACTTTAGTGTCATAAATTTTGTTATATATTACAAAATTGACTTACAGTATATGATTCAACTAATACAGTTGTTTCAAGAGCTAATTTTTCTTCAGTTTCAATATTATATCCAATATAGCATAATTTTTCTTTTAACATTCTAACTGTTTCAAAATCAGCAGAATGATTAAATGCATAGCCACGTAATAAAAGAAGTTTTATCAAATACATTGTAATATCTCGACCAGCTATATCTAGTCGTCGAGTAAGATGAGGTAAAGCATATTCTTCAAACACAGGACAAATATGAGTGACTCCATCACCGGAATCTACTACAACACCGCTAATCAATCCTTGAGCATACAATGTAAGTACTGCTTGAATTGCAATGTATGTTCCAGCAAAGCCATATTTTTCAAACATTACCTAAAATAATTTAATTATGATTAAAATAGAAATACCATAATTAAATTAATTTTCATTAAGAAATAATTTTACTTTACCTCAATCATCTTTTCACGATTTGTGATGGGATTCATTGGTGGTTCTGTTAACAAAATTTTGCACTCTCTGGGATTAATATTCATTTTCTCCTTGCCAAACGTGTAATCCCACACATGACACATATCTTCCCAATTTCTATTATACATTAAAATGATCAAATACTTCATTATACACAAAGATTACAATATAGTTATATACACACCTAACAATTCCATTTTGCATTGGATAACTAATCTCTAACATAGACCGAAGTTTACTTGCTTCATCCCCAACCATTAAATCCTATATGAAACATAATAAAAAAATATAACTATATATTATCACATAAAACACATTAATAAACACGTTAATAAAAATAATGTTAATATTTCAATAATTTAATACATTCTAATTTTTTTACAAAAAAAAATTATGTACAGGTTTTGATATTAATTGTTTAAATTGTAATATATAAAAAGAGAGGAGTACTAGATTTTTACTCAGACATCAATGTTGAATAAATTATAAAAATGATGAAATGAACTCTGGAAATGTTCAATTTTTTAAATACTGACATAATATTGCAAAATGTAAATATTAACACTAAAAAATGTAATGAACTTACAGGCATGTTAAGCACATCCTATGAGAGCAAATATAAGGATACAAATCAGTTAACAAATACAATTATAAGTGTATATTAAATAATTCTCAAAAATCTATACATATATAAGTATATAAGTATAAAATATATACATATATAAGTATAAAATATAACATCTGTAAACATTATACTTTATATTATATATTTCGAACATTTATTCAGTATCAACAGATAAAAAAAAATTTATTATTTATTATTGTGTATGATGATAAATTGATCACATATTATTAAAATGGAAAATATAAATTTTGTGATTATCACAGTTACTAATTAAATTTTCAACAAAAATGTTATATATTCCAAGACTTCTAAAAATATCTTACTTTTAATATGCACAATCCTTTTCAATTCTGGTTAGTAAACAAGGTTAATAAATAACAAATGCATTTTCAATCAGTTTTAAACTTTACAGCACACAGTGTAATATTATGAAGTGACTTACACGAATACAATATTCTTGCTGAAAATTAAGTAAATTAATAAATTAAAAAATGATGAGTTATAGTATTGTTCCTATGATTAAAGAACTTTAAACTTCAAATTAAAAAAATGTTCTCGATTTAATTGTTAACATTTTGATATAAAATATCATATAAGATATACGTAATATTTATCTTTTCAAAAGACAATAAATAAATATTATGTATCCATAAATTATATTAATAACTATTTTCTTGAAATTGTTTTTCAAGTAAATAATTGAAAATATAACAAACATTTATTATAATTAAAGAATTAAACGATTTATTATAATTAAAGAATTAAAAAATATACCTTCACATCAATGTCTCCTATTTTATTGACAGCTCTGATAATAGGACGTCCAACTATGGATGGAAATATATGTGCTGGAAAATTTGCTCCTGCATATCCACATTTTACAAACTGTAAAAGTATAGTGTCAAAAAGAAAGTTCTTGGAAATCTAAATTTAAATGGTATAAACGAAATAGAAATCAAGAAATAAATATAAAATCATAACCTTACCCCTGTTCCGTTATCGCAAACGATGATTTTTCTACCCTTGCTATCCATTTTTCAATATGATGTTATTGTATTAAAAAGATTGTATGTTTTTTATATTAAAGTATATTAAGCATTGCATATTCCACGAGATGACTAATTGTTATAAGATCTAGGGCGTTACCGGCATGACGGTTTGGAAGCAAGAACAACCGATGTGATGCAATTATATGATCAAATTATAATCATATTAAAATTAAACAGATATTTCGCCTTAAAAAAATAAAATTAATAAATTACATGAACTTTACTAACATAAACTCATTCACTTTGATACAAACTCATCACAAAGAATATCCTTCTTCAAGTCTGACATACAATTACCGTATTCGGGATTGGCTCAATCGTATCTTTCTTGAACAAGTAGTTATCTATTTGTATCATTCACTTCAAGAAATTTTAAGAGTTTTTAAAATTCTTTTCCAATTCGAATTCTGATTAAATAATAAACAAATAAAAATAAATAAGTAAAAAATTAAACAATATGTGCTTATAAAATATTTATACAAAATTATATCCTTATTATGCAAGAAATGTTGTTGTAACCATGAGATTATTATTATTATTATCCCTAAACAATCTTTTTTTATAGTCATGTTTTTTTTGTTCAATAATAATTTTTTTTCTGCATATATAACACTCTCTGAAATTGCACTTCATACTTTTAACTGATACACATGATGGAACGTCCAATTGCTTATTTAACAAGAAAAGAAGTAATATCCAGCTGTCATCGTTTACACAAGTATTGTACCACTTATTTTTAAATAAAATTCTTCTATGTAATAAACAAGAATATTTTTCAGCGAAACTTTAACTGACGAAGAAAATAAAAATATATATGGAAAGTGTAATAATTATTGGGGACATGGTCATAATTATACAGGTAACTATTATTAACTATTATTATTGATATTTATAAATTTTCATTTTATTTTAGTGGAAGTGACTGTATGTGGACCTGTAGATCCTGTAACAGGAATGGTCATGAATATATCAGATCTGAAGTTATATATGAAAAAAGTGTTAATGGATCAGCTGGATCATAAAAATTTGGATAAGGATGTACCTTATTTTAAAAATATTGTTTCTACTACTGAAAATGTAGCCATTTATATCTTCAATGAACTAAAAAAGATTATGCCAAATTCAGACCTTCTATATGAAGTGAAGATCTATGAAACTGATAAGAATATTGTTATTTACAGAGGAAATCAAAAATAAAATGTTAAATTTGTCTAAAACTTTAAACAAGTACAAGGTTATAAAAAAAACCACTATATTAATATTACTCTTATCTTTTCTTTTTAATACACAAATATGTTACAATATTAATTCAAGAAAATATATATTAATATTATACCTTTACAGATCTTACTAATTCATTAATCACATATGTTTGTATAAAAAGTAATAACTAGAACAATATCACAAATTTAAAAAAAAGAATAGATCTATCTCTTAAATAAAATATAAAATATATATGTTTCTTCTTTGTAAAAAACTTGATATAAAGTTAAATTTTTTAAATAAATTATTAATTTATTAATTGTTATTTAATGATTGTAAAACGTCCTTTACAATATTGATATTCGTAATTATATATTTGTATTAATATCAAGTTTAACATAGCTCCTAATAGTTACATATGGTATACCAAGTTCAAAATCATCCTTTGGCCAATATTTTAGTACTGGTGATTGCTGTGGCTTTTCTTCTTTCACAGAGAAATATGCAAAAAGTACAGCTGCTGTATAACTTGCAATAAAAATAAACAAATGCCAAAGTGCATGTAAATAAGGGAAATTCAAGTTCAACCAAGTATCACAAAATAAACGATCATTTAGCCAACAAGCAACTGCTAATAACCATACAGCACCACATCGTAAACCCAATCTATAAACTCTCATTGATTTTGTCCTTAAGAAAAACATGCATGACGATGTAATTAGAAATTACATCATAAAATCTTATATAGATCATTAATTAAAAATTGTACCTTTTTAACTCAATGATCATAAATCCAAATGCAGGTATACCAAGGCTCATTAAAGCAAATGCATTTATTGCAGGATGTATAAATGATAAGCCAGTTGCAACAAGAGTTGGTAAAGTTGCACATACGGCAAGAAGTTTTCTATCATTGTGTAAAATATTTGGAAAATACCTTCTTGGAAGAAACATACAGAAACCAGCCATGTATACCCATAAAATTGCTAATTCATCTAACAACTGTCCTATGACAAAATAACAAATAATTTTTACATTTATTTATATTCCATAAATGTATGATATATTATCACTTACCTATTAGGGATAGAGTAGCATGAAAATATGCACTACTAAGACCTACTATCATTAGTAAAAACCAAATTATATGAATTCCGGGGTTTACAAATCGACCATAATCTCTAAAGAGATGCATTAAAACAGGAGGGAGTAACAAAAATACTACATTACTTAACTGTAAATAAAAGTACAATGATTATAATTTAATATCTTAGATATATATTTTATATAATCTTAAACAACAAGAAAAGAAAAATTTTGATTTACATCATAAAATACAAACCGTATTCATAAATTCTGCAATACTAGAAGAAATACTGTAATTACGTTCACACCAATCAATTGGAGAACTACCAGCTTCAAATGGTTTCCACATATTGAAATGTATATTTTTTGTTAATATAAAATTTATAAATGTAAAATCTTTAACCTACGACCTATATTTAAAAAAATGTGCAATAATACAGAAATCAGTCATTAAAAATTAAACTATTTAAAATTTGAAAAGAATATGCAAATCAGAAAAAAATGTTTATAAAATTTTTATACCTTTCGCATTAATAGCATATATTGTCATTTAGTTCCACTTTTATACACACTGACAATTGCTACTATAGATACAAAACATGATGGATATCTATTACAATTTATTACGCGAAAGATGTTTAAAAAATATATTGTTTACGTAATTAATCAACATCATGTTATATACATGTTTATATTTTGTCAGCAGTCGGAGACAATAGTCCACACATACGCATATGATTGTGCACCAAGAATGCAACAGTATTAGAAAGTATATGTAAGTCATATAATTGAGAATATATATAGTTTGTAATATCGATTTAGCGAATGTCTTTGTATTAAAAACAATAATATGAAATATATTACAATAGCGTAAAATAATTTTCTCAACTATTTAATTCGTATTTATTTCGTATTTAAATTTTTGGCTTTTATGTTTATGGTTTTTCTTGTGTTGGTACTATTATAGTTTACATTTGCATTCATTATAGATGCGAAATTTTTTGTGTGCAATAAATGTTGACAATTCCAACAGATTAGGTGGTTTTAACAGTATGAGTGATAAATAACCGAAAAATGGATTTGTTCTATAGAAGTTTCTCAATTTCGTAATATATTGTGTCATATATACAACAATTTATGTTATAACGACACATGATTATACATGTAAAATTATATGTATGATTATACATATAAAAAATAAGGTTATAATTAAAATAATTTATTTTTCTTGTCTTTCAAAAATTCCATCATGAGTTTTTGTCTATACAAATCAGACATTATTATTTGTAATAATGAACAAATAATAATATATAATATTGAAAATGGTACAGAAACAACTGTTTGTTTACCTAAATTACAAACTGATAAAAAAGTCGATATACACAATAATGTAAACATAGAAACTTTTTACATGATCACGAATGTAATGTTTTCAAACGATGGAAAATATTTCTTTGTGTATACAAATCGTAAACAATTATGTTTATATGAAAGGAAAAGTCAAAATCTTATATTAAATAAAGTACTTCCTAGAGCTGCTAGTAAAGTACAGTTTACTCCAAACAATGACATAGTTGTTGCTGATAAAACAGGAGATGTTTACTTATTTTCTAATAAACAAACTGACAATGAAGTCCTACTTTTAGGACATTTATCAATGTTACTTGACGTATTAATTACAGAAGATGAAAAGTACATTATTACTACAGACAGAGATGAAAAAATTAGAGTGTCTATGTTTCCCAATTCATACAATATTGTATGCTATTGTTTAGGACATACAAAATTTGTAACAAACATTTTAGAATTACCTCATGATAAAAATATTTTAATATCTTGTGGAGGAGACGGAATGTTTATATTGTGGGACTACAAGATTGGAAAACAATTGTTATGTACTAATTTTCGTAATAAAATATCTAAAGATGATATTGAAAAGTTCAATAAGTATCTCCATAATTATAACTTGGAAGAATCTGTTGAAGTTTTACCTGTTAAACATTTGAAGCTTGTGGCACTTGATACAACTTCATCTTTAGCTATAATGAGTTTTTACAACAATTCATTATTATTAGTGTACATAATTAATAGCATATCAAAATCAGACTTTGAAGTAATGTATGTGCAATCCATAATTGCAGATAGTGAACCAATAGAATGCTATCTGTACAAAAATAATTTATGGATACTAAATGAACTTGGGTTTAAAATATATGAATTTAAAAATAATAGTTTTACACTCACTGATAAAACGATTTATAAAATAAATGAATTGAATAATTACTGGAAAACATTAAAAAAAGATATTACTCAACAGGATTTATTCTCAATCTTATATAAAAGAAAATATGATAATGTTCAAGAATATTTACAACGGAAAAAAACACGTCTTGCGAACTCGATTGATATATAATCTATTTGTCTATATAATTCTAATATTGTTATGAATGATTATTTTATATAGAAAATAAAATATAATTGTAAAAAACAATATATTTAACGAGTTTCATGAATATTTTCATTATAAAATACAAATAGTATTACAATAAAGTAAATTCAGTTTATTATTCCACACATCATTTAGTAAACGAACTAAATTTTATATAAATATCAATATATGTAATATTTTAATATATGTAAATTAAACAGGTTTGTAATCTAATTTAGATTCAAGTTTCTTATTGTCTGAAACTTTCCTTACTGCTTTCATAAAATCTTCTTGTATTACATATTCTCTTTCTAATCTTATTGCAAACAGTCCTGCTTCAGTGCAAACATTTCTTAAATCAGCACCATTAAACCCATCCGAAAGCTTAACTACTGCTTCATAATCTGAATTAAATTTAAAATTATTAGAAATGTATATGAAATAAAATGAAAGAGAATTTCATAAAAGAAAATGTGAAAATAAAAATTACCAATTTCTCCATGCTTAGATATAGGTCCAGCATGAATTTTTAAAATTTCTAATCGTGCTTGTTCATTGGGTAGTGGAATTTCAATTTTTCTATCTAATCTACCTGGTCGTAACAAAGCTGGATCTAAAGTGTCTGGTCTATTTGTAGCCATTATCATTTTAACCTGACCTAAAGAATCAAAACCATCCATTTGATTCAACAATTCCATTAAAGTTCTTTGAATTTCTCGATCGGCACTTGTACCTTCGGAAAATCTACGTCCACCTGCATGAAAATAAGTAATTAAAAATATTTATTTTTTATTTTCTTTCTTTCTTTTTTTCTTAGAAACTATAGTCTCCCTTTCATACCAATTGCATCAATTTCATCCATAAAAATAATACAAGGTTGATGATCTCGTGCATAATTGAACATTTCTCGAATTAGTCTTGCTGATTCACCAATATATTTATCAACAATAGCACTTGATACAACTTTCAAGAAATTTGCATCTAATTGACTAGCAACTGCTCTAGCCAATAATGTCTTTCCAGTGCCTGGTGGGCCATACAGAAGACATCCTTTTGGAGGAGTTATACCAACTCTTTGAAATAATTCAGGATTTAGTAGTGGCAATTCTATGACTTCTCTCAGTTCGCGTATTTGTTCACTCAAACCACCAATAGCATTATATGTAACATCACCAGGATCTTCATGTGACATATTATATACTAATGGATCAACCTAAATACATTAATAAATATTAAAGGTTTATTAAAATATGTAACATTAATTTATAGCAAAATAAATTTTACCTCACGAGGCAAATAACGCATTATAGTAAGAGTAGTCATGTCCAAAGCTACTCTTGTTCCAGATTTCAATTTATTTTTATCAAGTTGACGTCTACATCCAACAACATAACGTGGACCGTTTGTTGCTTTTACTATAACTATGAATAAAAATCTATTTACATATATACTACATGAATACACATTATTTTTATTTATAAACTTACACTTTTCTTCTGTAAGTTGTTTCAATACTTCACCAACAATCTAAAAGATAAATGTATTAGATTTTTAATAGAAAATACTACATATAATTAAGTGTAAGATTTATAATATACCTGACCAACACTTTGTAATGCTTTTAAATCACTTTCAGACTTATCATACTGCTTTGTTAAATCTTTGAGATGTTCTCTCACTAGAGAAATAAAAATACGATAAAATTTTATTAGGACATACATCATTTTTCTAACAATAATAATTCATGTATGTAAGATTAAGGTTATGTATCAGAAATTTTTTTATAGGAATACAATGAACAAAATCAATATATCTAATAGATTCAACTTACTTTCCTTTAAACGTGACTCTACTTCTTTATGTTCTATAAGTTTCTTTCGATAATCTTGAAGGGCTTTTTCCCTAACCGAATCCACGGTGGTTGCCATCTTTACTTATTTTGCTGTCTAACCGTCTCAGGCAATGTTTCTATGAACACTATAAATGAGAATGAAATATAAAAGTAGGTATATACTAGGTAAGTAGATATACACTATAATATACTATATATATATATATATATATATGTAGTTATTAAAATAGTTTTGAAATTTAATAAAACAAATACTTTATATGGGATATCTTTTTTTAAAGTATTAATTAAGGCTGGCTTTATCAATTATTTATTAATTACGCATTCCAGTTGTGATTGCACCTTTATTTTAAATGTAACATGTTTACGCGCCAGTTTATTGCTTAACCTATGTATTGTAGAATATCTTGTAATTTAATATTTCTGAAATGCATTATAAATTGAATTAAAAACTATATCTTGTTATGAAATTGGAAAAAGATCATATTCAAATTTATCAAAATGCTAGTTTTAATAAGTAAATCTTATACAATCAAATATATGTATATAACTATATCATGCTTAAAAATATTGAAAAGAAATTATATAAAAAATCACCCTTACAAACATATTCATCCTTGGAAATCTCTTTCACAATTTACAGATGATCTTTTGAATAATATAATTTATAATAAAGGTAATAATGTACTATTAATATATACTTACAATGTTTACAAATTTAATTTTTAATTTTATAGATGGATTAGTAGCATTAAATAAACCATATGGAATAAGACGAAGAATATTTGAATCAGAAATAAATGAAACTGGAAATAATGTCCCATATGGTGTAAATTATACATTAGAGGATGCTTTACCTTATATTGCAACACAATTAAATTATCCAAATTTAACTGTTGTTAAATGTCCTGAAATGTAAGTATAAATCATTTATTAATAATTGTTGATGATATATTTCTTATTTACATAGAGACATTTCCTTTAAAATCAGGTATATGAGTGGTATTGCACTTTTAGCAGCGAACTCACGTGTTCATCGTAATATAGAACTTTCATATAGTAATTGTAAATATCCAGTTAATACTTACTGGATAATTACAGTTGGTATACCAAAACAATTGAAAAGTGAGTTTCACTTGGCAGTAAAAGCAATTTCAAATTCTCAATTTAAAGAAAGAAAAGTAAGTTTATTGAATAATTTTTTAAAACACATATATTACATTATCATGAAAAATTTCAGCTAGTCCTTACTACATCATGGTCTCAGAATGACAAAAAATTACGTAGGGTAAAATTAATGAAAGGAGAATATAAGGTGTTATCCAACTCTACACTTAATTTATGTTCCCTGATTGAATTAAAATCATCTACTCACAATAAAAGTACCATCAGACTATTTGCTGCTACAATGTTATATTCTCCAATTTTAGGAGATAATATTTATGCATCTCGAATTCAAAAAGTAGGAAATACTTATGTAAGAGCTGACCCATTTTTTAGTTGTCCTGGACTACCAAAATTAGATACAAAACTTCTAAAATTATTAGTTGTAAAACCTAGTGAACAAGCTATTATTCCTACTCATATTCATTTAAAATCAATAAATCTACCAAATTTTTTTGGAAGAACTTTAACAATTGAAAGTCCTATAATGCCATATTTTGACTGGTCGTGTAAACAACTTGAATTTAAACATTTAATGTCAACAATGGATAAAGCATGTTCAATAGTGTAAGTATATAATATACATATGAATAATTTTTTTATTATAGTTTATAGTGTTACATTTATTAACCTCATATTTTAATAAACTTAGTGACTAAGTACATATTTGCCTTTCAATATTCTTCTCATAAGAATTTTCCGTCCACCTAAAGTTGACATTCTTGTTTTCCAACCAAATCGTTTAATACGACGACGTTCATTAGGATGCGGAAAATGATATCTTATTATACTTCTGCTCAATGTAAGATTCCATAAATTAGTTATTGGATTCAACGATGCAAGTCCTCTGTAAAACAATATATTTTAAAAAAGCATACATACATTATTTTGATTAAATATACAAAATAACGTACGGAAATGTTCGATATGCACTGGAAAATAACGTGCCTATCATATTGTAAAAATTTTAAAATAACTTTATATTTCGATTCGTAACCACAAAAAAGGAACGATATAGAAATGAGAAATGAGTAAAGCGCGACACAGGGACAGAAGAACTAAGTAGGGCAATGGTAGGACAAAAGCATTACTTTATTGTGAATCGATAATGTTGTATGTGATAAGGCTGTTAAATTGAGTGGTTTAATTCCCAAAATGTGGGACATAAAAAAATATTATATATTAAGTCTGTTTTATTCTTACTCAATGACAAAAATTGTCCTTGTTATTCTTTACTAAATCGGCAATATACATTGAGTGTTATATCTACATCGTATATTGTATATGGTTATACTTCTAATTGTTATTATTTGGTAATTGGTAATATTTCTTTGAGTTTTCTAACTCTGTATATGTTGTATCAAATAATAGTTTTATTTATGTAAACGATAATTGTTTTCTCGTGAAAATGAGTCTCGTTGCATATGAAAGTAGCGATGAAAGTTCAGATGATGAAGGAAATGATTGTGATAAAATTAAAAATAAATTTACACCAGAAGTGACAGATCTACAAATAAGTGACAAATTACTTATTTCAAAACATGATACATCCGTAAATAATGAAAATGATACTAACATAGAACTAGTTAAGACAAACGGATCATCAGAAAAATTACATTTTGATAAATTACCTAAACCCAAAAGTTTGATTAGTGAAACAAAGGATATTGTAGAAGAAGATGATATTCCTCCCAAAAAGGAAACTGAGTTTAAATCTGAGAAACCAGTAAAAAAAGACAGAATCCCAGTTAAAATAACAGTGCCTTCTTTATCTGAAGTAAGATCAATTTTTATCTGTATTTATTTTTATTTACTATAAATTAATCTATTGTTTAATTATAGTTTAAAGATGTTTCAAAGGAAAATGAGTTTAAATTCAATAAATTTAAGTCGGCAAATGTAAGCATATAAGAATAGTGGTTATGTATAAAAGAATAATGGATAATAAACTGAATTAAAATTTATGTTTATTTCAGAAGGGTACTAAACTTTTAATATTGTTGCCACCACCTAAAGGAACCGAGGTCAAAAATACCAATAATTTGGTACCTAGTGTTGTTAATAAAGCAATTAAACAATCTAATCAAATTATAGTTGAACCTAATAAAGATACACATATAAAAGATTCAAATACGAGAAAATCCACGAAACCTATAACAACAAAAAGTTCCATAAGTGTAACTTGTGATTCAAATTCTGAAGATGAAGATGACACAACTATAGGCAGTGATAGTAATTCTATTGTGGATTTCTTTGCTTTAACAACAACCGATGCTTCCACTTTGTCAGATTCCTTGAATGTTACAGATTTAAATAACTTTGATTCAGAATTTAAGAAAAATTCCCCCAAAAATAATACCTTATCTAATTACTTTATTGACAATTCAGATATAACTGAAACAGAGATCAGTACTAAACTTTTAGTATCCAATAAATCTCAGACAACATTGGTGAGTAATGTCATAAATTTACCAAAAGAGGAAATATTATTGAAAAATAAAGCAGAAGTAGGCCCAAAGTTACCAGTGCCTGAACAGGAATATAATGTAGATTCAGAAGGTAATGTAGCTTTTGATGATAAGGCTATTGAATATCTTTGTGGAAAGAGAGGAGTGAAGCGAAAACCTAAAGAAATTGAAGAAATGAATATCATAGAAATAAATGGAGAAGATATTAAACCAGATGAAAGAGAATGGTTAGTGAAAGCATTAACAGAAGAACCTGTACAGAGACCAATATCAATGCAAGGTGGTGGAGTAAGTTCGCAATCTAAAAAGAAACACCAAATAACATACTTAGCACATCAAGCTAAGGCAATGGAAATGGAATTGAAGAATCAATGGGCACAAAATAGATTAACCAGAAAACAAACACAATCGAAATATGGTTTTTAAATAAAGACTTGTACAAAAGTGTATATAGAGCATTTTTTTATTATTATAGTGAGAAAATAACAAATTATGATATTAGTTACAAATCAAGATATTAATTAATATTGTTATATGTTTATTTTGTTTTTTCTAAAAATGTATTCTCCAAACTTTCATATTCCTTCTTTTTAACTTCAAGTAGGGCTTTAGCTTGTAATAAATTTGGTGGTAAATCTTTATATTGACTAAGATATTGATTAAGTTCTGCTAATTCACCTGACATTTCTAAATATTTATAGTATTTATTTAATATTTTTTGGGGGTAAAGATCTTCAATTTGCATTTCTATTAAGTCAGTTTCTAACTTTTCTGCAGTCTGCTGATATTCACTTAATTTTGTAAATAATGAAATGTGATTGCAGTGAATATCTGTTTGCTCTTTCTGAGAATTCTCAATAAAGTTTTCAAGAGAGTTTAATGCCTCTTGCAAACAATCAAGTTTTTTTGAAAAATTAGTATATTTTCTAGAAAGATCGTTATACAATAATGCTAATTGTTTTTCTTCATGTTGTCTTTTTGTTTCCTCTATTTTCTTCCTTTCATTTACTATATTCAGAGTAACAATATCAAAATCATATAACTTTTCACATTTTAAAAGTAAGGCTACTTTCTGTAATCCTTCTTTGATGTCACTGGGTAAAGATTGTGGTTCCAAGTTTAATTTATTCAATAATGATAATATTTTCTTTCCAAAAGCTATATTTTCTTCACTTGTTTCTAACATCCCTTTTTGCAAAAATTGTAATAATAATTGTTCTTCTGACGAAATAATTTCTTCGCGATATCTTCCACTTGATGCAATACTTGAAGTGTAATCATTTTGCGAGAAGAATTCCATCTATTCAAAAATTATTCATAATTACTATATGATGCAGTAATAGTTCTATTTTTCCAATTTTCGTATTGTACAACTTTACCTCATTACATTCCATGTTAAATTTGTACACTAGTGTTTATTTGATTAAAAAACCTTTACAATAAACTTAAAACAATAGCGTTTTAAATACAAAATAAATCGAATTAGTAAAGATATTGTATGAATACAACTGATTAAATAGTACTCTGCTTATTGGTTGACAATTGTTAGTAAATTACTTTTACGGATGGCTTTGTAGTATATTTAATCTTTTTGCTTAATTTTTACTGAATTTTTATTAAGAAATTTTAGTTTACTTTTTCTAATTCACAAATTTCACTTTCAATCTAATTCATACTCGATTGTAAGTACGATTTCATATTTTCTTGTGATTCCTAAATGCATCTTATTCTTATTAAATTAAACGTACAGCTTAAATATAACTAAAGAATTTAATTTATTCAAATATAATATTTATGTTGATTATATTCAAATTTATTACACATTTCAAATTCAATAACATTTCATTATGAAAAGAATACACAAAATGTAAGAATTGTTTATTTGTAAATTTACGATATATTTTCATGAAAAGCAATTCGGCGAAGTGAAATTTTTATATTATAACCATTTTTATCGGCCGGAAATGCATATCTGCATTGAACTATTAGCACATTTGATGACAAATCGCTTATATTATAAACTAAGAGTAGTATGTGATTGTAAATTCTTGTTTAATTACTGATTTTTATCATCTGTGCATTATGAAAATTCACACCTAAATCAAATTTGGTAACGGTTATCTGGGAACACATGACTGTATGTGAAACGCTGTTACTATCTGTTAAGTTTGCCTTCATTGACGGATATTTGTTTTTGACGATAAAATTTATAAGATTGTGAATAAACGAACATTATATAAAAAAAAATTTTTAACATAAAAAGTTAGTGTTTCTCCATTGTATGCTTTTATGTGGTAGTGTTAAAATAAATATTTGATCAATATATACCTGTGAAATTTTAAAAGCTATCAAAAAAGTGGTTAGAAACAGCAACGATGAGCAACGATCAAGCAAGTGAACTGTCTGAAACAGTTGAGGTACTGTATTAAATGAAATAATGATTTTACTTTTCTATTGTTATACATTTAAAGTATAATGTTATGTTCAAAATAATAAATTCATGCTCGAGTTCTCTTTAGGAAATTTGGAAGTGTAGTTTTAATTTTTAAGTTTTATTCAAATCAAGTATGAGTTTGATGAAAACAATTAGAAATAAATAAAAGTTGTATTAATATCTTAACTTTTATGATTTCTACAACTTATGATTTGTATAACTTTTATGTATATGTACAATAATTATCAAAAATCCTAAAATAATTTATTTCAGTTATCTTCAAATGATATTGAAAAAATAGAAGAAGCAAAATTAAGAGCAAAATTTCCAAATACTGGACGCCCAATTAGTGGACATTCAGCCTTTCTACAGAAGAGGCTAGCTAAAGGGGTATATATACATATATAATTATAAATTTTCTAAGATTTGCTATTATAAGTTAATGAATAATTTTTTAAGTAAAGTGCTAAATAATTGTGGTATTATAATAAATGTATGTATAACAGGAGTTGGGATAAGGAAAATTTTTTAAGTTGTATGTAAAACATTTTCAGCAAAAATATTTTGATTCCGGAGATTATCAAATGGCAAAACAGAAATATACAGCTAAGCCAAAGCCAGCTGGTGTATTGCCAACAGGTGATGCTATACCTACACCTGAAACTGTACCACAACGAAAAACATCTATTATTCAACAAAAATTTAATACAACAAGTACATCATAAATTTTTGTAATATCTTAGAAGTTTTGCAACTCCAGTGATACATAATATGATTATATGCAATTTAAATTTTAAATGATTCAGTATCTTTATATTTTATAGATGATATTATCTTAGAAACATAGTTCTTATATTTTCTGAAAACTTATTCATCATCAGTGCATTGATCTTTTTCGTGCTAAATAAGTCTTTCTTAAAAATCATATTTGAAGATTTTTAAGGCACTTAAAAAAGTAAAAATTATAATAATTTATAACAATGTATCAAATATTATAATCTTGTTTTTCCATATACTAAAAATATTAACACTTAAGCAATAGTTACTTCTGTGCTATTGAGTTAATTTTTAGGACCAAAATAAATTGCATCTTAGATTTAAAAACACAAATGTAGAATTTCAAAATTTCCTATTAAAATATACAATGAAATTAAATATTCAAAAACATAAAACGATAAATGAAAATATTGTAAACGTAATCACTTGTATATGTAATAGAGTTTCAAAATGAGACATTACACAAACCTGCATTTCCAAAGTTGCTGTGATGTGCTTAGTAAAACTATATTCTTATAAGATATCAGGTTGTCATAAAAATCTGTATGTAGCATAAAACAAATTTAAATATAATACTTGTTTTGGTTACTGTAAACTACATTAGTAATACATTATAACTTAAACTTACTAATATTTATTTAGTTACCTGTCCATTATTTTAGTAAAAAAAAAATTTAAATAATAAGCTTTTACATATTAATAGATTTATGTGTCAAAACATAGGAATCTTAATAAATTTATTTTGTTGTATAAAAAATAAAATATATATTTAGTAATATGTTTTTGTATATTTAAAAGACTATTTACTGGAATAATATAGTAAAATTACAAAAGTGCACTTATACAAGATAATTTTATTATCACATTATCAATTAATTATAACTTTTAGGTATACCTACACTAAGAAATTTTTATGATACATATATTAATAAGTATATTAAAAAAAGTTTGTATTCTTTTTATTCATTAATGTTTCAGCTAAATATAATAAATTGAATAAAAATATTAATTATATAATTTTAAACTCTTAATTTCACTATATTTCCCTATTATACTATATTATTTAAGGATTATACTCTATACTCAATTGAATATAATAATACATTTTACTAGTGTAATGATATATAATATAGTACATTCAACACACATATGCTGTTATATATTTATTTATATATTTATAATATATAATAGATTATATACATTTAAATACAATTCGATTTAAAAATTATTATTTGTATGTACTATTTGAACTTCTGATTTTCATTCACGAAGGCACTTATTCTATTTTTAAATATTTATTTTTTTGAATCGAATATTAAAATACAATTAGAGTAAATTTTATTGTCAAAGATAAACGTATTAATATCTATTATAACAAATTTTGTACCAAAAAGATATATAAAAGTTTTGTTATAATATACTATAATACGTATGCCAGATTTTTAGTATTAACATTAAATATTTCCAAATACATAATGTGTTATATATTCAGTCAGAATATCACATATATTCAAAAATAATTTGTACATACATACTTTCTTTCTTAAATTGTAATAAGAGAATAAAGTATTTTTTAAAATTTTTAGAATTAAATTTTCTTTAAAATATTTACTAATTAAGATCAATTTAAAGAACAATTTTATATATAAATATTATAATATTCTTGATTATGTAATTTCATAATTTAAATATGGAAGCACTTTATGCAGGTATGTCAGTAGTTACCACTAAGTTATTTAAAAATATGTTTTGTTTTTCCTTCTTTTAAGTTATAAATAGGATTTCTGTATATATTTATTTATACATATCTTCTATCAAATTTTCATATTTCTTATGAACAACATTTCTTTTAAGTTTAAGTGTTGGTCCAAGCTCTCCAGTGGCTACTGAAAAATCCTTTGGTAAAATTTTGAATTTTTGTATTTTTTGTGCATTACTTATTGCTTTATTATTATATCTTTTAATTGCTTTATCAATTTCTTCATATACCTAAAAAAATATGAAGTTTATGGGCAATATTCAATTAAAATTTATTTAATGTTTACTAAAGCTGTTGGTACGTATATTAATAAACTTACAAGAGAATCATGTGTTTTTAAGACATCAGAAACTGTTTTTGATGTACTTCCAATAGATTGTAACCATTTTAAAATATTTACAGTGAAATCATCTGTTGGTTCACCAGTTTCATTATTGATTTTAGTCTAAAGTACATACAAAAATTATATATAGTTAAAAAGAATTAATGTAAATATTATTATATTTAAAAATATCACATTACCTTTAAAGTAACTAATATTGTAAGATATTTTCGTTTATCTCCAATTAATATAGCATTGCTTAATGCGGGCAGTTCAGCTAATATTAACTGTTCTATATGAACTGGTGGTATATTTTCGCCACCAGCAGTAATAATTAATTCTTTTATTCTTCCTGTATTCAATACAAAAATATCATTTTATACTTATATTATTTTAAGAATAAGGTTTAAGAAACGAAATAAAAATTGTATTTCAAAACAGATTTACCTGTAATATATACATATCCATCTGAATCAATCTTTCCTATATCGCCACTGTGTAACCATGCTTCTGCATCTAACGCTTCCGCTGTTTTTTCAGGTAGATTTAAATATCCCATAAATACATGTCTTCCATAGATACAAATTTCTCCTTCGCCATTACTATCTGGATTATTCACTTTTGTCTTAAATCCATGACATGTTTGACCAATACTACCTAATCTGAATATTAAATAAATTAGAAAAACTTAATGTAATAGATTATCGAAATTTAGTTGTGTATACAGAATGGTCATCATGATTATCAAACATTCAAAAATATTGAAAATAATAAAAAAATCAAATTTTTAATTTTAAAAAGTTAATTATACACATAAACAAATTAAATTAAAAAAGAAATTGATTTAAAAAGAGTTTTCAGAATTATTCAACTTCTATTTGAAATATTTGAAATTTCAATTTAACATCCTGTATAATAGTAATTAAATATTTACCTGAATTCATCAGGTAAAGATACAGTATGCCCTCCACCACATTCAGACATTCCAAATACATCCAATATGATAATGTCTATACTTAAGAAATATTCTTTGATTTCGTTATTTAAGGGGGCAGCTGCAGTAATGCAATAAGTACATCTATCTAAACCAAGTGCTGTCTTTATTTTGTTTAAGATTAGCCACTTAGCAAATATATAGCCCCAGTGCTTGTAGTTGTTACCATTCATTTTGTTCATATTGTAATAAAGTCCGTGTGATTTTGCCCAAGAAGCAATCCATGTTTTAATAAATCCATTATTACTTGCAATTTCTTTCATTTTATCATAAATCTTTTCCCATACTCTTGGTACACCTATAAATATAGTAGGTCGTACTACAAGCATAGTATTAATTAAAGTGCCTTTAAGAGCATCTTTATCCGCGAAATACAACGTAGCAGCTACAAGAATCATGCAATATATATCAATTACCTAGAATTATTAAGAAAAATATATAATTATAACATATATAACTACAATACAAAATTTTGAATAAAGTTTCAAATAAAAAATTTACCTGTGCTGCAACGTGAGATAAAGGTAAGTAAGAAATTAAAGAGTGACTGGCCTCTTTCATTTTAAACATTTTAGTCATAGCTTGAGCATTTTGTATAAGATTGTCATGACTTAACATCACAGCCTTTGGATTTCCAACTGTACCTGACTGTGATTAAAAGACACTATAATTGTTTTTGTAATATTTTTTTTAAATGTAAGAATTAGAAAATTTTTTATTAAAATATTCTTACACAAAATTAACTTTTCCTACCGTGAAAACTAAAGTACAGCATTGATTCACCGCAATTCTTTTTAGAACTTCGTTTAATTTGTCATCAGATTCTGCTTCTCCAATTTTTATTAAATCATTCCACTGTAAAATGAAAATTATTATCAAATATGACTTGATAATGCATTTTATATCATAGACAAAATAACTTACACTCAAAACATCTTTTTGGTTCGGTGTGCCATCGTATTGAATAATCGCTTTTAAGTGGGGAAGATTGTGTCTTATTTGTAATATTTTTTCCAATTGTTTTGAATCTTCAACAACTACTATATTTGCTCTGCTGAGTTCAAGACAATATTGACATGCCTCTGGATTATTGGTAGTATATATTCCGACAGCCAATCCTCTAAGTAAATTATAAATTACATTATTTAGTGTAAAATATTGAAATTAAATATTATAATTTTTCTACAAAAATTGTAGATATAGATATTTACCCTGCATATATAGCACCAAGATCTGAAAAGAACCATTCTGGACTATTGAATCCTAGAATGCAGACCCCATGAAATCGTTCTAAACCCAATTTTAAAAAACCCTTAGCTACAATTCTAACTTGGTTTTCATACTCGCTAAAAATGCAACAAAATAAATAATCTATATATATATGTAAATATATTTTGTTATTTTTTCTGTAAAACGCTTACCTGAATGTATATGTTTTTCTACGACCTGTTTTATCAGGTCTTGCTACTAGAGCAATATGATTAGGATATTTCTTAGCCATACGTGACAATAATCCAGGAACTGATATGGGTTTAAGATTATCGTTACTTAATTGTATTCGTACACATTCATCCATTTTCGTAGTTGTGAAACTATCGGCCGCCAAAATTTGATCAGGTCCTATAGAGATAAAATAAATATACAAAATATAATAATAGTAGTTTTTTCAAATTTTTTAATGCAGAAATCATAACTGCTCACCATCAAGATCAGTTTCACTATTTGCATAATAAGAAACATTATTAGTTACGTCCTGTAATATTTAAAATACCAATTATTTTTCTTTTCTTTGTGTGTAATAATGGTATTGTAAATAAATCTTTTCAATTTGTGACGTGATCATTTTTTTTATTGTCTTACCTTACTATTCGTAAACCTATTTACTGATCCATTTGTCTGTATCGTAGTCATACTGTCTGAAATGTTATAAATGTTGCAGGTATTAGAATGAATTTGAAAATGTCGTTTGCCTTATAATACGTACTGTATTAATAGGTGCTTTACAAATGAATAAATGCATACATTATACGTATTATTATAAATGAATAAAATATAAATCGAACGTGATAATTATATACAATTAAATGACTGATACTATAATACTGATACTATATATTGTAACATAATATTTTACAAATTTATAAGTAATAAAAATTCAAGATTCAAATGTAAAAAGTATTGAGAAGCAGATCAAGATAATAAAATTTTGTAAAGTACTCTACATGAGAGTTTGGCAAAATGTGCAGAATAATGATTTATAACAATCGTAACAATATAATTTCAAAAAAAGAAATAGCCATTTTTGCAGATTAAATGTGCAAATAATTTATTTTTTATTAAGAAAGTTCAAATAGAAACGGTAGGTTAATTTATATAACTTATAACTGCACGATGTGAATACAAATGAAATAATTGTACGTACAATTTAGTTTTATTAATAAGTTTTTATTAATAAAACTACAACAATAAGTTTTTATTAATAGTCACCTATATAGTAATCTAAATTTTCAAAATATATCATCGAGGCTTTTTTTAAAATAGTATTCTCATTTGATCAAAATTTTTTTCAAATTGAATGTAATATTTTAGTCTATTTCATATTTAGTCTTTCCTTTTTTTTCGGTTTTTTTGAAACGAGACATTGAAAAACATGAGGCAACGTGAACAAAGTACACTTGTCAGATAGATAACTCGTCATATCACGCAAGTTGATGAGTAGTACTTTTTAAACGTTGATTTTTTGATGTTCGTATAATTGGATTGTGTACATGAATATTTATAAATATTATAGAATTAATTAGAATAATATTAACTCAAATATTAAGTAAATTTATATAATACTTATATAAATCTTTTGCATAGATATTAATTACAAAGTTATTAAAATTTTAACAAATGCCCTTAAAAAGTAGAATAACCATCTTGGATGGAATTTTACTGGCTTGCTAGAATTACAAAAGTACTATTTGAACTACCAAAAATCAATAACAGAACCTCGTACTACCTTTCGGCGACATATTTAACTCTGCTACGATTTTGAATTTCTATACATCAATCTCGTTTTTTAAACAAACAACGGAATTTTTAATGTTTTAAGAAAAGCTTCATAGTTAAATTGAAACAAAAGTAATAATAACAATTCTTCTAAAATTCCTGTTAAATTTTGGAAATTTTTTTAATGTCGGAGAATACAGTTGTAAATAAATGATCCAAGAGACGAGCAAGATTGAATATAGAATAATTTATTAAAATATCATTTTTATTTCTTTTCAAAATATTAATAAAATACCAATATACATAATAATATAATTATTGGAATGTTTTTCATCCTTTAGCTATTATTTTTGTTGAGATAAGGAAAAAAGAGAATTTTAATTTTCAACGTCATGAATAAAATTGATGAAAAATGAGATAAACATTATTCGCATCAATGTACCAGATTATTTCAATATAAGAACGTAAAATAATACAAAAATGTAAAACTTAAAATAGACGCAAAATGTGAAACTCATCAAGCAATGAATTTCTGTAATTAGATGATAAAGAACATGAAATTTTTTTTTCAGATTATGTAATAGCAAATGACATTTTGCTTTTAACATATAATTACTAAATTGGAACTTTGATACTTAATTAACTTCAAAAGGAAATAACAAGTATATGTGAAATACTTCCTAATACGAAGTTTAAAAAGAAAGAATTAAAGAAATAATATTTCAAACCTCACTTGATATTTATTATGCATTGTCCTTTTGAGATATATAATTAATTACAATATAAATTTGAAAAATATTTTTATCTTTATCATTTATTTCTCGTTTAAAATTTAAAATAAAAACTTTCCATTTTTTTTTCATTTTTAATTTGATTTTAATTTTGTATGAAATATACTTATAAATTTAAAAAAAATATTACATTATTGTTACATAATCGAATTGTTTCATAATATAAAATGTTATACTTATCTATTTTATTAAATATTCATTAATCACATACAATAAATACAAATTTGTCACTGAAATTTACAAATAAGTAAGTAAGATGTACGAAAAAATTATTAATAGTTATGAATATTTTTGATAGAGATGATGATTTTAAAATTTATGATTTTAAGATTTTTCCTATTCCGATTTTCTTTCTCGGTATTCTTGAGAATGGTACCGTTAATCGTCAGTATAGTACGATTCATTCGAAGACAAGAAAGTAGATCTATGAGCTCGAGTTTGCTTTATGAAATTATATAAGAAATATAACTTTTGATAATAGATTATTTAACTTAATTTGATAAATTAATGATATGTACAAAATTCTTGTAAATATGAAATACTTTTATCTGTGTAGTATAAATAGCTTTGAGTTAGCTTGAAGTTTATCTACGTTTCAGAGATTTGCTATAGTATAAATTCTTATTTTATATCTAATTTTAAAAGATCGGTAAACATTGTTCATATTGTTATATAATTTGTTAAGCAAGTAAAATAACATAAAATAATTAGCAAATTTAAATAATTAAATTTTTATTCGTTTGAAAACAAACTATTAAAAGCAGTTTTATTCATTTAATATAACTTTTTATATTTACATATTTTATAACTATTTGTTTAGCAAATCATTGGTTTAATTAATAATAAATCATTATTCTTTATCTTAATAATTAATTGTATATTATTGCGATAAAAAATATTGCAAGGAAATTGTTTATTTATTTATTTATTAAGTATCTATGAGCAAATGCTCTATGTTACGTAGAAGAAGCAAACAAAATATAGCATCACATTCGATTATGTTCAATGATAACTACTTCATCCTTTACCCCGCATATGATTTAATATAAATGTTAATGATGATTTGATAGATGCAATTAACAAATTTTCTTAATAACGCATAATTAACAATAAGATTTGTGATTCCTCTATCATACGATTTAATTAATACGTAAATTTTTTAGTCAATGTAATATATCTTTTTTTATTTTTTTTTTAATTAATTATTTATATACAGATTGTATTAGTTCATTTATATGTTTTAAAATTTATAATATTTGTAATATTGAAAATAATTAAATATTCATTGGAAAGTGAGAAACAAACTTACAATCCGTTACTGCTGATCACGCCACATTGGAATCTATTATATGTGTGTACGTGTGTGTGTATACGTATGTAGTATTTGGAATCAGTAGAAATCATAAAAAAGTACTTATAGATGCAATATGTGTTCTGTTATAGTATAAATAATAAAATATAATTGTTAAATTTATTTGTTGCACAGTGAATTAAATTAATTATTTATATCTACAAGTACCCAGATTAATTATAGTATTAATTACAATTTTTATTACAATATTTTAATAATATTTAATTATAATTACATATATATACTTAATTATAATAATAACTATAATATTTATAATATTTATTATAAGATAAATTTAATAAAATTTATATATTATAAAATGAATATGATATTGCGTAAATGAATATATAGCCTGTTTGTAAATATTTCGGTTTAAAACACCTACCTGGTTTGCTTTTGAATGACAATTTTATAAGATCACGACTGTACAATTTACAATTCGATTTATTTCTTCTTTGATAACTCCGTACAGTACGAAAGTTCTAAAGATACTGAGGAAACTCTGCCGCGTTAATCTACAGTCAACTTGCAATGTTTTTCATGTAGTAGCATTGTATGTCGAACCGATAATTACAATTCTTTTACTATGTAGCAAATATTTGAATTTAATGTACATATATATATATATAAAGAAATTGTATTTACAGTTCTTATTTGTACTTTATATATATATTTTGCGAAATATTATATATTTTAAGAAACGAATAAATAAATCTTTATTTTTGTGCATATATATGTATGCATGTATTTATGTGTGTGTGTGTTTGCACTTGAGCATAGTATGTGTGTAATTCATTTAAAAAGATAAGAAGACATTGGATTTTAAATATTTTAAATATTTGAATTTTAAATATTTTTTGCTATTTCTGACGAATAAAAATATTTTATTTTTTTCTATTTTAAATATTTTAATTTTATTACATAACAATTTGTGTGATTGTTTCTAAATTCCAAATATATTTGATACATTAAAACATAGAGATTTTATGTTTAAACATGACGATTTAACAATTTCTATTATCAATTATCTTATCAATAAAACGCGTTGATTTTAGATTTATTGAACAAATTGATACAGGAGTACAACAATTAAACTAATTTAAAAAAAATACAAACATTTAAAAACTAATCATACTCAAATGAACTGTTTAAAATGATAATATGTAAGCGCGTATAAAATTCTTTAAGTTATCTACATGCGCAGAAGATAGTATATGCATACATACGTATAATACAGGTTAAAAGATTTTGTTGCACGGAAGATTATTATTACTGACCATATAATATTATTGCCAACAAAATCAAAATTGTATATTAACTGTGAATCGTGGTACTTTGATCAAACAGTATAAAATGCCAGGAACACCGATAAAGGAAGAAACCGATACATGGCAAAAACTGCAAATAACGGAACGTCCTCCGGTAGCAAATTTGCCCGTTGTGCGGGAAATAACGCAGACTGATAGATTAAATAAGAAATTATTAGTATCCCTTTTAGAAAGAATGAATAAATCGAGTGATGAATTCGATAAATTTATGGATAAGGGAAATACTAGTTGTGATTCTCAAGATGATAGTGAATTTTAAGTAAAATGTAAATATGTGCGTTGCAAAACATAACCTATCACAAACCGGTTGGAGTTGTACAATTACTAAGGAATGAATATTGTTTGACAGAAAAAGAAATAAAAGATTTCTTGTATTTCTGAGATTAATTGTATTGAAAGACTTTTTAAGTTTTAAAACATTAAATAAAAAATTATTTCGTATACAAAGAAGTGGGGGTACAACTTGTTGAATATGACGACATTGTCGAATACCTCTGATTACGATGAGGATGAACATGATATAGTAACTGAATATGAAAATCAAGAGTCTGATGGAGATCAAAATAATAAGAAAAATTCAGACTCAGAAAATGATCAAAATAAAGAAGAAAATATTGTAAAAAGAATTGATCCATCAACATCATCTAAGAAACATATAATAAGAAATCCTTTACCTAAATTAAATACAGAACGTTTAAAGGGCCCTAAAGGAATTCACACTATTGAAAAGTATTTTGAAGGCTTTAAGTTTCATGGGCAAGGATATGAAAAGTTAGATTTAGATCGAATTATGAAAAGATTGGAACATTGGGGGCACAGATTATTTCCAAAATTGGACTTTGATGATTTTCTTGAGAGATTAGAGAAATTGGGCACTAAAAAGGATCTTCAAGTGTTCATAAAGAAATATAGACAAGATATGATTAATGAAGATGCTGATATTATTCATCAAGATAATATAGATGCAGAAGAAAATGAAGAACAAGATGAACCTATTGATGAATTTGACTTATTGATTGCAGAACAAATAGAGAAGCAAAAACAAGTTATGCAACAATCAACAATTAATGCATCTATTACTAATAATGAAACATTTGATAAATTATTATTACAGTCTAATACTATAAATTCTCAATCTACAACTAATACTTCTGGTTCTTCGCAATTAAGTGATGAAGTAAAAGAGCGTATAGAGAGAAATAGACAGCAAGCTATTCAAAGAAGACTAGCAAGACTTAAAGAAATACAAGAAGATGCTAAAAGAAAGAAACTTGGAGAAGAATCAAAAAACAATAAAACTTTATGTTTGGAAAATAAAGAATTTGAAAATAATTCACAAGAAATAGATAAGAGTCATCAAACTTAGAATAAAACTATTATAATAAAATTTGTAAAAATATCAAAAAAATTTTATAATAAAGTATTAATATAGTAATTAAGAAAAATAAATATGTCAAATAAATGATTTATTATGAAAAATCTTAACATACACAAATATTATTTAAACGTTTTTGTAAGGTAGAATAAATAAAATTTGATATAAATTATATATTTATTTTACTTAAGTTCTACGTTTCTGCGTACTGATATATAAGACATTATTACCACGAATAAATGCATCACCATATTTATCTTTCAATTGACCATTTACATATTCTTCTGTTTGTTCAAGAGCTATATTCATATAACCATCAAGACAAGCTAAAACACCTGTAAAATGAGAATAATTTTGTAATTATCGTTTATATTGCAGCGCAATATATATTACCTCTATAATCTACCCCACTATTTAGCTTCACGACAACAGGACGTCCATGTATTTGCTGAATAAATTGTGATAATGCTTCCTTGCGACTCATCTGTAAATTATATTACTTTTAAAAAAACAAAAATAAGGTTAGAATCAACCTTTCCGAAATAATATATTAATACTTTGTTACTGTTATATGTAGTTTTTTGTATATTTGAAATATTTTATTTGTAGATTATATTTGAAACACTATTTTACAATTATCACGATTTTTCTTTTACAATTTTATAATTCAATACTATTTTATTGCGCTATCGAAGTCATGTAAAATGTAAATGATCAACGATTACTGTTAACTAGCAAAAATAATAGTTTTAGAGATAATTCATAAATAAATGTATCTGTAATAAAAATTTGAAAAATATAAAAATATTGTAATAAAATTTTCTGAACGTACATATTTTTATTTATTTCATGTACTATAATAATTCTATTTATTATAAAATGAATTAACCAATCAAATTCTTAATAACAGTCATAAACTATGTACATATATCTTTATAAAATAATGTCACAAAATTTCTTTTTTAATCATTGGAACATACTTAATATAAAAATAATCGTTATCAGTATTAAAAATGTAATAAAAAATGTAAGCGTTATTATTGTTTGGTTAATTTCATTTTGTAATAAGACGTTATTTTATTTAAAGAAACAAGTTTTATATAATTTCCGAATGTTTCACAAAATTATAATTCTTTTTGTTCAATTTTTTTAATTCTCAAGTAAATATTGATTTATAGTTGTTATAATTTTCTTGATAGTTTTGCATAATCAATGTGATATAGAGAGAATTCGATTTTTTTTTAGCTGTGTATATATTCTTACGAAATTATTTTCTGTTCCCATTATTAAATGTGAAAGTGCATGAAAATAAAGAGTCGGAAAAAATTTTCTATTTAACTGTAGTTTGAAATAAGCAATTATTTAATATTTATTCTTTTCTATATGTATAATGTGTTATGGTTTATGTATTTAAATTATAATTAAAGTGTAATTGTATAAATTGGTGTTCTATCCTTTACATCTAGAAATACAGTGTGCTGTAAATTTTGTTAATTTACAATGGTATATTGGCTACCAAAGAAACGTTTTAAAAAGAGGTATTATTTCTGTTTCTAAGGCTTTATCTTTTACTTCCAGATTTATTGCACAATTGGATAAACTTGTTTATGTTAATCTTTCAACACACATATTAATCTAATGAACATTTTAAAATAATAAAATTGTTATTAAGTGTAATTATTTCCATTATTTACAAAATTTTTGAATTTTTAAGATTCTAATTTGTTTATTAAATATATTTTTTTCATATAAAATTATATCATTTCCTTTTTTATTGTGAATAATTATATTATTCTTACAAAAAATTGCCATATGTGTAATATCTGAATTTTTATCTTAATCCGAATATTATTTTAAAGTATAATTTTCAGATTAATTTTAAATGTATCAATTTCACTTTATTGAATTATGTAAGTTAATGGTTTCATAATGTAATGTATCTTGAAATAGATAAGAAGCTTAATCTGCATTACTAAGTCTAACATTGGGAAATATCAAGAAATTTTAATCTTTAAATTACAAATTTACTACAAAATATAATTATATTGATGAAATCATGGATATAGTTACACTTTAGCAGATATAAAAAATGGTTTTCATTATATCATTAATACGCATACAAAAGAATTATATTAATGGGGAAATTAAAAATTACCTTATGTTTGATAGCTACTAACAAATATGCAGACAACTTATCTACTATTAGCAGCAATGTTACCTTTCATCGTTTTTGATATTTGGTATACAGGAATGTAAGTTACTCTGTTATAACCATGATGTAATTATATATTCTTTTTTTAAAAACTTGTCTTACAGTTAAGGAATATTTATTAAAGAATGTGCAACTTCTGAAACAAAGAAGATATTTCATCCTATATTTATTCAATATATTTCTTTTTAATGTAAAATAATGTAATATTTTTAAACTCCCTGTAGAATAATTATTTCTTCAGAATATCACAATAATATTTTCTGTATTAGAATAAAAGTAATGTTATTCTAATATATTTTAACAACTTTATGGTAATTAAAATTTGTGATGCATGATACATATATATCCCCTTTAGTTTGATACAAAATGTATAAATTTGTTCAAATGTATAAATAAATATTTTTTATCTTAACTTTTTTATTATAGTATTGAAGATATATCACAAAAGTATTAAAATGTTGGAAACTATAATAAACATTTAAAAATAAGAGATAAATTTTTTAAATATTTATACAACTTCTGAATTGTACTTGATTTGATAAATTTTCAAATTACAACTATTAAATAATGTGCAATAATTATTGTTTAAATTGTAAAAATGTACCTCAAACTTCTATACAATTAACAAGGTATAATTATATTATATTATATTCTTATGTTTTATTGATGATTTAAAAAAATCATTGTATTTTTATTTATATATTAGTATTTGCAATTAGTGCAACTTTTTTAAAAATTTGCAAATCATAATTGATAAAAAATAAAAACTAGATAAATATAATAATAGTAATATATATAAATAATGTTATTTTATTATTTTTATAAATAAAGTATTGTTATAATGAATAAATAAATAAATAAATAAATAAATAAATAAATAAATAAATATATATATATCTATTAATATCTTTCATATTGTATGAAAATATCTTTTCATGATGTAGTTATTTGTTTATAAAACTTGTAGTTATTTGTTTATAAAATATTAAAGAACATATATATATGTATATATTACAGATATTTGTTTTGGATGATAAAGGTATCAATAATTACATATCTTATTATATTTGGGCTTTTGCCTATTATATTTCACTACTCCTACACCATACAAAAGAAGATTCTTTTTTTAAATTTTGGTGAGTAAATTGCTTTTAAATAAATTTAAACATTCTTTTTATTGGATTTTATGTTTAAACATGATATATTTTTAGTGCAATGGCCACTTAATGTAGATTTTTCAAAACCAGAGTCAGTTGGAATGAAAGGAACAAGAAATTTTTATTTAAAAACTGATCAACAAGTAAAAATAGGGCTATGGTTGGTAATTTATAAATAAGTATACAATTTATTTAAACTAAATAAAATATACTTTCAGGCAAATATTACCTCAGTCTTTATTAAATGATTCAACTATTATAACTGATGATGATTATGAGGCTGTGTTAAAAAATACTAAACAACCAATTTTCCTTTATATGCATGGTAATAGTGGTAATAGAGCAAGTAACCATCGTTTAGAATTATATAAACTTTTCCAGAATTTAGATTATCATGTTGTATGTTTTGATTATAGAGGTAAGAAAAATATTTTATAGTTGTACGAAACTAAACGCAATCTAATGAAAAATAATAATGAAAAGAAATGACTATTTAAATATTTGTGACTTTAATTTTCTCTCTATATATAGGCTATGGTGATAGTGAAGAAGCAGAACTGTCTGAAATGGGTGTAGTTAATGATAGTAAATCTGTACTTGAATGGTTGTTAAAAATAGCAAATGGCACAGCCCCTGTTTTTGTATGGGGACATTCGTTAGGAACTGGGTATAAATTCTATAGTTATTTGAAGTAACAAAATTAATGTTAAAATTGAAATTTATAGGCCATTGTTATATTACAGAGTTTCTGTTCATGTATTGGCATTATTAGCAACAGAAAAAATTCAGCCTGCAGGCTTATTTTTGGAATCACCATTTAACAATATAGCAGACGAATTAAGTGAACATCCTTTAGCACAGGTACTTTGTATAAAAAATATTTTACATATTGCACTTAAAAGATGTTTTCAATATTTTTGAAACTAAAAATTTGTTTTTAGATATTTAAACATTTACCATGGTTTCATTGGGTAATTGTTGAACCATTTTATAATAATTATCTTCGTTTTGAATCTGACAAACATATAAAAAAGATTCAGTGTCCTATTATGATATTGCATGCAAAAGATGATAATATTATTCCATTTGCACTGGGTGAAAAGGTATAGATATAGTTTTGTATATAGTTCTATAAAAATTTTGAATATTAATATATTTAATCCTTTTTCCTAGTTGTTTGAAGCAGCAATAAATTATCATGGAAATAATACAAATCAGATTCAGATGACAAGAATTGATGCATCACATGGTCTTGGACACAAATACATATGTCGTTATAAAGACTTACCTAATATAATTAAGTGAGTATTGATTTTAAGTTATCAGACTAAAATATTATAAAATTCATTGAGAATTTTTATTACTTCTTTTTTTCAGATCATTTGTATATGAAGCACACAAAAATCAAACTGATTAAATTATATATCAAAATTTCAGCATATATATATATATATATATATATATCTTCACATAAACATTTTTTACATTAAATATTAGTAGATAATTAATATAAATAATATTTTTCATGCTTTAATTCTTATAATATATAATATTTTAGTGAAATGTGTAAAATTTATTTATTGTACAATTGCATTTTTTTTTTAATCAAATAATTTTCACTTATTGTTTATGTCCTGTATAGTACAAAGTCTATTAAACTCTAAATGCATTCATGATATAAATAAAGAAAATTTGTACTTCTTATACATGGGAAGATATAATGATATCAAAGTTAATGCTGTGATAGTTATTCAAATATCATCAATATAATATTATTGTCTTATATTTTTCAGTTAATATAATATTTATAAATCAATGAGTGTTTAATTTATATTATGTTACCTTTTATTTAATAATATTATATGTATATAATTTTATGATATATATAATTAAATGTTTTAATTTAATTTTATATATTTAATTTAATTTTTTATATTAATTCCGTAAATGGAACTTCTGTATCAATATATCTTATGTTCTCTACATAAATAAAAAATAAAGAAAAATGACAAAATATAATAATAAGAATTGTATTTTCATTGTAAATATCTTTTTATTGAAATAATTTGTATTTTACGTTCAATAAAAATTATATATGTATAAATTTCGGTAAATATTTAGTAAAAATATTTATATTTTATATATAAAAAAATTATATTTGCTTTTGTATAGCTTACAATACCGTTTTACACAATTTTTTTTATTTGAACCTCACTTTTTTAAATTATAAAATAATAATAAAAGAATATACCGAGTGTAAAAAAAAAATGTGTGAAAAGAGATAAATCGTTATAAAAAAACATAAATTTGAATTTGTAAGTTAAAATTATATATAATTTTTTAATAAAGCCGTACCGATTTAGAATTATAAAATTATTTTTGTAATTAACTTTTTAGAATGTAGAGTGCGTTAAGATATATTTTCTTATAAATAAGTATATAATGTGCTTCAATGTAATTCATATTCTATGACAGTTTTGAACACGTGCATGATTGAATCGTGTCCTTTTGTAAATATATTTGTTGATGTTGTTAATGTTGATTAAAGTTCATCATTATTAATAATATTAAAGTTATATACAAAATGGTAATAAGAACTAAAAATATTCTGTTTTTTATACGCATTATAAGATAAAATAATTATTTTCATAGCGTAATATCGTAGGATTTACTTTGATTAACTTGCGTATAATAATTTTCACTATAAGTATTTTACGTTGGAAAAGGAATAATAATGAAATAATTTTTATAACAGAATTAGTTAACTATTGGTATAAATTTTATATCGTATATTAAAAAAGATAAGTAAAATGGAGGAGCAGAGTATTTTAACATCAAAGTCATATCAACGTGCTAAAACAAACTTGAAAGATAAATTAAAATCAATATTTTTGGATCATTATCCGCATCATTTAATACCTGGATATAATTTACACAGCAATTTTTCTATGGATGATTCTGATTTAGAAAATGTCATAGAACAATATCAAGAATATCCTTATCATTGTGATTTACCAAAACCTTTATTGCCACCTGCTAAAGTACCTAGAAATGGTAAGTCTATGTGCAGTGTGTTAATTAAATTACAATACAAGTGTATATATACATATTTATATATATATATATATAGTGTTGAATGAAGAAGATCCAGCATTAGAATTAGTGACTCTTAAGAATTATTTGAACAGTGATAAAGAAAGAATGAAGGATTATTATTTAAAACACAAGAAAGGTAAATTTAAAAATAAGTGTTAAATTTTATAAAATAAGTTTGTATATATGTGTTTGTTTAATAATGTTTTTATAGAGCTAAAATTGATACACAAGAAGGATGTAAAGTGGAATCGCACCAAAAATATGATTATTGCTAAAGTGCCTAAATATGTAGCAGACATAGCACAAATCATTGATAAAGACCCAGATCCTTACTTTGAGGGAGTAAGATAAATTGACAGAAATATAAAATTGAAAATACTGTGTAAATGAAATTTAAATTTATGTAAATTCTTGTTAGGTTTATAATTGGTATTATACTGGTGGATCTGTAGACTGTGTACAGTTACACAATAAAAATAGTTTACTTTTTCCATTTATGGGAGAATTAGGTATATAATATAAAATCATTTTTTTACTTTTTTATAATTTAACAATATTATATATTTTTGTTGTAACATAACATTTTTAGTATGTACTCCTATTGATAATATAGAAGAATTCTTATGGAAACCACAGTTTGAAAAGGCTGCAAAATGTGAACTTAATGATTCATTATATGAATTGAAACATACTATTGATACATGTAAGTATACAACAGTTATTTCCTTAAACTGATAAAAAGATATAGTGTTGATAAATTTGGAATTTTTTTCGTGTTAAAAGTTAATATTTGATTTAATCTTTTTTAGCTATAGTTTTAGGTAGATATAAACAACATTGTAATTTTTATAGATTATCTGAACATGATAATAAATTTAATCTTACTGAAATACATACACAAACATCAAAAATACCTTACATTGGTGCAGATTTAAATTCTATTAATACAAATCAGTATTGTTTGGTAAATGTTGAAAGATATGTAACACTGTGGGATATAGTTAAAATGTAAATATAATCTAATTGTATATTTGCTCTCTGTGCGTCTGTGTAAGAAATTTAAGTCTATCTTTGATTTTGCAGAAAACCAATAAGTTGTAATACCATAATGCAAAGTACTGTATTAGATGATTCATGGAGCAGTATAAAATTTCAATCTACAGATCCTAATGTTCTTTCATTTGTAGATAGATGTTGTCTTCATTATCTTGACATTCGGGTAAGAATTAAAATATTGCTATTAATTACTTTAATATTGTTATTTCGTACATATTGTGGAAAGAATCTTTTATTTGTAAGTTAAAAATGAATATCTGTAACATATTACAGATTCCATTTAATCAACCAGTATTAACAATGTGTCCAAAACCTTATTTGGAAAAATGTGAACATCTTTCAATAGATACTGCTAGTAGAAATAATTTTTGTAGATATATAGGAACTTACCATAGTATTTTAATGTGTGATAATCGTTCACCACGGCAATGCGTTCAACAGAAATGGACTCATCAATTTAAAAGTCCACCACTTATGAGTTCTGTAATAAATAGGTAAGAAAATGTGAAAATATAGTTGTAAATGAATTGTATATATATAAAACTAAATAACCGATTATTTCTAGAGAAGATAAAGAATTTGTTGTTTTATCTAGCCAAATTGCTAGTGAAACTACAATTATTGTAAATACCTGGACAAATAGTGAAATTTCATATTCATACAATTTTCCATATAGTCCTCCTCATATTAAAGAAACATTAAACGAGTCTCAAATGCAAGGAATGTGCTTAAATCCATATTTGAGAGATAGATTTGACCTATCTAATACTGGTTCTTTTCTTATAAAAGATGATGCCCAAAATATATTTTTATTTCTTCAAAATTCTATCGGTGTGTAATTCGTTGCTTTCTATAGTGTATTTTATGAATTAAAGAAAATTTCAAATATATTTTTTAGGTGACATATACTATCAATGTTTAACGCATGATACTGCATTAGATAAATATTCACCTATCAATGGAAAATCATTCCATATATTGAATGCTTGGCAAAATGCGATACCTATGGAAGCAGATGCTATAGTACCTCTTGCAATGTCTAGCAAGTCAAATATGCAATATTCTCTTGAAAGTAAGTAAATTGATAACTTATTTTTTTTCAAAAAACTAAATTATTTTACTTGATTACTATACACACATTAATTTGGTAGATTTTACAAATAAAAAGTTACGATTAAAATATAATGAGCATAATTCAGACTGTTTCGAACCGAGCTGGAAGCAATCTCTCGAAAAACTGAATACTTATACGGACATATTAGCTCCTGAACTTTTAGCTGTATGGGATATGTGTGAAGAAGTTCCACTATCTTCAACAACAGCACCTCATCAGAAAGTTTTAAACTGGTTAGAATCTGCAGATACAAAAACATTAAGTTTATCACAAGAAGATATAGAGAATACATCAACACCAGTTAACACGCAAGAACTGGTAAGTGTATCTCAACAAATGGATGTAATTTATTTGGACGACAGTAATGTATTTCAAGATCTTTTACCAAAAGTAAAAAAAGTACGAAAAAGACAAAAAGTGTAAAGTATTTTCTAAAAATATTTATTTATGTGATTACAATATATAGAGATTATTTTTTATAATAAAATAATAAAACAAAATATTTCGATATATTAATTACTTATTTATTTATAGCAAAAATTATACAATAACAGTTACATAAAGTGAACGAATTAGTTAATGATAGATTTTTGTATTTTACAATATTAAATTTTCTAATGATTTAGCGATCCCAGAAAAGATGGTTTCCATTTTGATGTAAGCACTTTACTACTTTCTTGCTGTGCTTTATTTTCCTCCTCTTCTATTTGCATCTAAACAAATTTTATCATAAGTATTATAGATTTATTATAAAGATATATATCAACGTAATACTTACCAAGAATTTTCGTTGATTTTCTCTAAAAACTTGTAATGGATTTTCAAATTGTCTGTAATAATTAAGAACTTCTCGTACATCTTCCACATTTGTCGCTAATATAGCTAAAAAAATAAGAAATACAATAAATAATTATAAGTACAAAACATAATTAATTAAGATTGTGAAAAGCAACATACTTTTAAGGAATGCAGCTAAATCATATAGCGTTGTATCATCGTCATTACCAGTCCATTGCGGTAGTCGTAAAGTGTTTTCGGGATGAAATTTTGTGTTCTCTGAATTCCAGTCGACTACTATAACCTAATGATAAACAATATATATTATAAAGAAATTATTTTCCGTAAAAAATATGAATTTAACACTTACTTTACTAAGATCACGATTAAGAGCATTTAAATCCTTAACGTGGTGGCCATCTACAAAACGTGTTGTATCTCTTACTAGTCTGTACATGATATATCCATTAGGATCCAAAATATCCAAGATAGGAAAAACAGTCTGAAGGTATTATATTACATAAATAATGTATTGAAATGATAAGTAAGATTGATAATAATTTAGTGCTAATTGTTGTTTACCATTCCTTGTTCTGCCGTATATACTACAATTTCAAATTGTGGTGGAGCTATAGCTTCTAGAAATTGGTCCACCCCGGGTCTCTTTTTAAACCTCCAACCAGTTTCATACTAAATATTCAATTAGAAATTTATCAGAAACATATTAAATGTGTTTGATATAATGTATAATATATTAAATATATTAAAAATGTAGAAAAAAATTAAAAAATATGTAACTTACTGTCCAATCAGGATGTACTAGAACATCTGTCAATTCTAATATCAAAGTGTAGGGTGGTTGAATGTACGGATATTTAAGTGGATCTGGAAGTAGTTTAGTTCTGCTAGGTTCTTGTACCATCTAAAAATACAATTGAAAAGTAAAACAAATAAAAACTAAAATTAGTTATCTAAATTTACATTGTGCTTTTGTTACCTTAGTGTAATAGTTAAGTTCTCTTTTGAGCATTTTATATATTCTCTCATAAAATGGTAAATTTGAGAATTCATCTTCGATAACATTTCCTTGTTCATCATATTTGGTTCTTGTTAAATTATATATTACATAAGACAGTCCAACAGTCGTGAATACTCCTAAGAATGCAAAACTATATTTAAGCACTCTTTGTGATTGTTCACGTTTTTCTTTTTCCTCTGCTTCTTCTTTTGCTTCTTCATTTAACTTTTTATTGTCTAATCCATCTTGTGTTAGAGATTGTACAGTTCCTCCAGGTGACTGAATATTTGTTAAACTACCGGTTATTTTTGGTCTATGTGCTGTAAAAGTATATAATTGAAAGTTATTTATTTATATTGTTGTGCGGCGTGGAAAATTTAAAAAAATGATGAAATCGTATTATTTACGTAGTAAATAATATATATATTATCAGGAATGTATGAAATAATAACATATTATTTGAATAAAATATCAAATAAAAAGAATAAAGATGTCTTCCATTCATATATGTATTATTTAAAGAATTTCATAACGAACATGCAGGTTGTGCGTGTTTCAGCTTTATAAGGTTATACGTTTTATATTTACTTACCTTCAGTGTTATAATAATGATTTTGCGCCGTTTGAATAACTGATATTCGAGCGATCGGTAGACGAAGTGCTGAGTATACAACTGTTGTATTTGCATTGTATATTTTATATAAGTGTCGTATACTTTTTGTCGCAAATGCCATTACTTTAAACAAACCATGAGCTTTCTGGCAGATGTATGCAAAGAGCTCGTGTTCGTATTTTCTATGTTAAACTCAATGGATATTTCAGAGATCTAGTTTTCCGGCATACCTTAAGGCAGTTTACAAGGAGTTAAAGATCACCAATATTCAAAAATTAATGTTATAAATAATTATAATCATATTTCTCTATTGAAATATGATAAACATTTCAATTACTAAACTTTCAATTGTATAAAAGAAACTTTTTGAGAAAGATAGAGAAAGAAAGTAAGAGTTGTTGAGAAACTTTTTACACATTTATGTAGTATTAAATTCAAATTTTAGTTGAAATAAATATTGAATTGTTAAGATTGGAAACTTTATCTTTTTTTTTCTTCTTCTAATATTTTAGTAGTTGAAGTTGAAGTTAACATTTGCAGAAGTAGAGTTATTAAACATCTATGTTTAAGTCATTCGATTGTATGAGATTAATTGCTATGAAACTTTTTATATTATTTTAATTATTTGGAAACGCGATTTCACATTACACTAGGCAACAATTGTTTAATTGTCTGAAACAGAGGCATCTCTCAACGTGGATGCAGCAGCTGAAGCCTTTTCCGGTTTAATCAAGTTCAGGAAGTTTGCTAGCGGGTGGTAGTTGTCGGGTCAGTATATGCATTCTATACTAGCCAGGGGAATTTTGTGGACATCGCGCGGTCAACCACTCTAATATTAATAGCTCGGGTATGAAATTTGCTTAATCATGACTAACGGGATGACCCAATGGAATGACAATAATTTGTCAGCGTTCACTCGCCGCGTCAATCTCGAATAATGATCGCCAACGAAATTAGGACCATTGTGAAACGATGTATTATCAATAAAAAATAATTAATTACCGCGTTTTCCGTTTGTTGTACTCGTTAAGGTAAACGTGCGACAGTAAAATTACACAAAGACCCTCTTAACGATGTCTACCTTTTTTCTTGCTCTTGGAACGCGTAACGTTCATGTAAAAAAGGGTCGAAGGGAAGCGAATTTATCGTTGAATTTTTCCCGGATTTCCCAGGATAACGCTTAAATTTTTGTCCCCGCAATATATAAACCGTACACGCGGGATGAACCCGTCTGCTGTTTGTGTCAGCTGCTGTTAGGACCGTAATGAGAGGTGCCATAACGTTAACGGCCGAACACATACATTCGAGCAATTACGTCGCTCCAACTAATTTCTGTCCCTGGGCAAACTTGAGGAATTTCATACGCTACGAATAGAGGTGCGCGCTACGAGTGCAAGGGATTGCAAACGGGACGTGGGGTTACCGAGGAGGAGGCGGAGGAGGTTACTGCTGACCATTTCGTCGAATCTCCCCGCGTTTTCACCGCTTCTATATACGCGTGGGTCGCATGCTCCCTGTATGCACGCGTGAGAAGCGTACAAACACAAAAGCGGCGCACCCTTTAGCGAGCCGGGGTTACGAATGCAGCCGAGAGGGTTGTTTGTCAAGAGAATTTTCAGCGGTGAACACGTTGGCCAACGAGTATTACGGGTTGGATTAATTCCTAACAAAAATATGTGAAATATTTTCACGGTGTAGACACGAGCAAGCCACGCACACCAACGGTCCTTCGTACCGCTACAAAAAAAATCTGCGTGAACATATGCACCGTTTGCTGCATGGTTTCTGTTTTCCTTTCGGATTGCGCGTCAAGATTTTCACAACAAATTGCTTTCGGACAAAAAATCTATCGCTCTCTCGCTCTTTGCGTCTCTTGTTCTTTACTCTCATTCGACTTTAGACTTTGTGAAATTTCCACTTGCGTTCTACTTTTGCGAATTGATTTCCCTACCGTATGATCATCGGTAATTTAGGAGCAGATATAGATTATGATAGATATCGTCGTGTTAAAGTGAAATTTGCAAAATGCAGAAACCGGTTCATCGGGGCACTGTACATCAGGAAGTACAAAGCATTCCATTTGAATCAAATATGCGCTTTGCGTAACTGCATCAATGAGTACCTATATATACGTGCTTCTAGAACTAATCAAGGATCATTTAATTATTGCATTTTGTTCTATTCCATCGATATGATACGAGATAGCATCTATAAATAATAAAACGAGATCAAATAATTAGTTAGGATGATCGAATGTTCCGTTGAACAATGGATAGTTAATAGTTCGATGTTAATCCACGTACGCTCGTATCTATAATCTATCATGGGTAATATTTGATTCTTTTCTGGGCCGATTATTCGTGCCTGGTGTGCCTGACGCGAGAGCAGAATTGCCAGATTAACGCTTCTTAAACGCTTGGGATCTATAAATGTCCCTGCCGGTAGCATGTAAATGGAAGAAAGCGTCATTCCAGGCGATACTCGTGTCTCGTGCATTCGAACTCGGTGCTATTTGCACGCGCTTCTATATCGTCTCTCGTCGAAAGATTTTCGAACGAATTCCTTCCCGGAATAGTGGAGTCATTCAAGTTCCTTGGCGACGTTCTATTCACGAGTCCCTGGGCTACCGTCCCTTCTCTTCTCTCCCGTCGATTCATTCCTTTGATCGGGTGAATCGACAACGATTTACCTTTCGAAGTGGTCGAATTCCTCGACCGAGAACGGTAGATCGCGACGCGAAATTTACAATGTAAATCGACGCGCGAATTCCCCTCTAATCTTTTTCTTGTATCAGTTCCTAATCTCCCTTAAGCGTCGATCGTAATTGGCCATCGTAAGTTTCCAGGTACACAGACGTCTAAGTACGAATTATATGCATCGAGAAACAGCCACGAACGTCAAGAATGGAATGGGGGCGAAAGGATGGCGTAGAGATCCGAGGGTTGCGAGCGACCAGCCGCGAAAGGGAGCATTTGGCGTAATCGATGTATCGCGTGCCGCAGTACCTGCGGAACGATAATTCCATTACGCGAGAGAACAAACGTACGTACATACATACCGCGAAGGCAGGACATTTTTATCGGCTACGATCTGATATTTCGTCGATCAGTGCCGAGCGCGTTGTTGTAAAAGCGCGTGCGTGAGATACGCGAGTAATTCTCCTCGCGTGGGAAAGCAACGTTTCCAGCCGGCATAAATATAACGGTAGAAACGTGGACGAGACGAACACGCTCGAGGAAGCTTCCCCCCCTACGGCTGATACATATAGGCTCGCAATCATCCAGCAATCGAGTATTTATAAACTATTAATTCACCTTCCCGATACAATTTCAATGCACATCCTCTGCTGCCCTCCTTTTCGTTTCTTCCACTTTTTTTTTATTTCATTCTTTTTTTCTTTTTTAATCTCTCAAGTATACACGTGGAATTTGCGGATCGTTATTATGACTCGCCGGGTTTTGACGCGAAAGCGAGCCAGCTGAACTTTCTTAATCTGAAGTAAACCAAAGCGCGGATAATACGCCTCCTCCGGCCATTCGAAGACTTTAATAATCTAACTTTTCGTGCTACTTTGCGTCCCACTTTTAACCTAAAAATTGCTTTTCTCCCCCTCGCTCATGGAAATCAGTGTTACGGCGGTAGGGAGAATTGTGAAACGAGTATTTACGCATCCCCGCGTGTATCGTTCTTTCAACGCTTTTACAAGAGAAACAAGGAAATTACTTTCTTTCGGGATATCGGGTAATTCTGAATAAAATGATTTCTTCATTGTCTATGAATCGATGAGACGCGAACGTTTCGATATTCTCTCGTTGAAAAAAAAAAAAAAAAAAAGAAAAAATAGAAAAAAAGAGGAACATGCTAAGAGATCTACTTCTTCGATACCGAAGCTTCGCCTTTATGCGGAGTATAAAAGTGGCCGGGAGATTTCATATAGATCATCTGAATTACAAAGCTCGTGGAAGCGGCGGCTGGTAATAAAAATCGGCTCTGCGTATCTGTCCGTGCACGCACCACCCTATCTTCTCCACCCTTCGATCTCGCCTCTCGCTACCTATTTCTGGCATTCATCGAGCGAC